CATCCGATTTCTCCATCATCCACTTGATCTTATCTTACTATTTAACTAACCGTTAATGCTAGAGTCTTATAAAAATATTTATAATATTATACAATGTGTTTTATTTATACAATTATATGAACTGATTAGTTATTTGTAGAATACATTATTCTTAAATTTTTATAGTTATGTTAGTATCTAATTGTTATTCAGATTTGTGAATAATTTAATTATTTGTAAACAGATTTATTTTTCAAATCGATGAATAAATCGACGAATTTCATTGCGAAATGCTTTACCGGATAAACAATAAATATAAAAATTTAATGAACAATTGATCAAAATTGCTAATGAAACCCACCATGTTTCATGTGCTTCGATGGTCATAAAATGTCCAAGAATATGAGCAAAAAGTGATGAAAGAAAAAGACTCGAATGAAGAATAAGAACAATATTCATCCATGATGTTGTTCGTGATTGTTTTCGACGTGGTTCACAACCATATGCCCGATGTAAACGTCGATAGGTTTTCATAAGATGAAGAATTATACAACCATTAAATAAAATAATTGTTGCTGTTGGAATCAATTCAGAGAAGAGACAACGTATTGTATAATGATTTTTACCAAAACGAACTTCATGGAAAAATTGACGCCATTTAGTCGATGCATTTGGATGAAGTCCACAATATCTCTTTGTACTATTAGTAGTCATTCGTATTGCTTGATTACTATAATGAAAATTAAATATTTCTTATTTTATATTTATTACGAAAAAATAACAAATAAATCTTATTTAATACGAACGAACTGCAATAAATTTACATACATTCTTATTTGTGGTTGAAACATGTAAACAGACGGTCCAACAGCACAACCAATAATTATAATTACTATCATTATTGGAATAATATATTTATATTTGTATAGATTCCATCGATCAAAAAATGATTGTAATTTTTTTGAAACACATATTAAACGTTCAAACATCCAAAATAATGTTATCCATGCTGAAATAACTCGAAAACAAAAGGAAAACTCATAGAGTTTACAAGCCCACCAACTATGTCCAACTAATTCATGTAAAATATGTCTTGATGTTGTATGAAGAATAGTAGCATATCTTATTAAACAAAGAAGATTTGTTATTGAACTAGAAGTTGCTAAACAAACATAAACAGATGAAATATGCCAAGAACGACGTGATGAAACAAAAGTAAGAAGTCCTAATAGATTTCCAGTAATACCCAGAATACATAAAGTATCGCACATGGCATTTATTAATCGTGTTTGAACAGTCAAAACATTGACATTCCGAAATAAGAGAGGTATATGTTTACCATCTGACATTGCACTTTAATTGATCTGAAACTATAACGACTATAATAAAAATGAAATATTGTATGTGTCGTTTTTTTCCTTCATTACAAAAGTTATTTAATATCCCACGAGATCATTTCAATGACGAAACTAATATGTTTTCTCTATGGATATATAATACTATCATTTTGTAAACTTATAGTTTTTTTTTGAAAATATTTTCTCAAATCTGATAGTTTAACAAGTTAAAACTATCTCTGAAAAATGTTTGCTATTTATTGGTATATGATCTCCTTCTCCTCATCGTATTTACGATATTCCTACAATGACAAATAATAGAAAATATGAAAAGTCGAAATAAGGGTTTCCGTAATAAAATGAAGCGTGAATCATTTAAAATAGTATATCAGAAGTATTTTTACTCTATAGTATTTACATAAATTTTATTAGATTTACGACATACTTTACAATCGCTGTTGTATACAAACTAAAATAAAAATATCGGACTGACTACACTATGTTCATGTGATTCTAATGTCGTAGTGTTATAATTACTTGATACTTACGATATGAACTCATTCATATAGATAAATAATTGAAGTGAAAATATCGTATTAAACTATCTAGTTTCAAGGTTGATCTAACAATGATATAATATTACTATTCCAGGTCTCAAAAAAATGTTTAACAGTTTTTGTCGAGAGAGAAATTATATCTTCTTTGACGTCGAAGACATATTTTATGTGACTATATACAGACAATATGTATATTGATTATTTTAATAGTCTTTCGGAGAAAAAAAACCTAATTATTTGTATGGTTTTTTTCAACTATGAGAATGATTCATCTACGCTTGATTTCTGCTATTTGTCTAAAATATGATTATGATAATCGTAATAATTCTAGAAGTTGTCATTCACTTGTTTATTTCTTCAAGAAATAATTGTAATACTATTCTCCAAATAGGTTTTTATTAGATAAAATAAAAGTCACATTTACTTTTGAATCTTGAAATTTATGACAAAAATAAAAAAAGTGGAAGTAGGATAATATATGATGGTCATATTAATAAAACATCCGATGATAACAAGCTTTTTTATACCTAAAAATAAAAGAGAACTATACTATTTTTGAGTTTTCTATTGATAGAAATAACAGAAACAATTTGTAACAAGGTCATTACGTACTAGATGTTAAAAAAACTCTTATTTAAAATAAGCTCGTCTGAAAGACAAAAAACATATGCACATTTATTCTCATAATAATTGAATAAATATTTGCCGTTTTTTTTATATAAATCTTCAAGTAAAACACAGAAACTATATCGAGTAGTTGACTAATATTTATAAATAAATTAATAATCAGTCAAAATAACATTTTATCCTTATATAATAAATACAAAAACATTCGTTTGTTCTTAATTCCAATATAATAGAAAAGATGTGACTATTCACAAATAAATACACAGTTATATTGAGTACAAAAAGTAGAAAGAAATAAAAAGCAGCAAAATGTTCTTCAGCACGATGATTAACTGATTTATTGAAAATATTAAATATTATAACATTAAAGAAATATAAGTCTATCAGTAGTGTTATTAGAATGACATCATTAGAGTTTATTCTTCATGTTTCTGTTATAATTTCTGTATGCTATGTTTTGTGTGGTTCAGACCTGTTTCATCGAAAAATTAAGACTAATTAATTAATCTTCTTGTTTCTTCGACGCAATTTTTTTATGAACAAATCTATAATTATTTTGGAGACGAGCACGAAAATAAAGAGAAACATAGAAAATTTTTTTGGGTTAATCAAGGTCAAAGTACAAAACAATCAAAGTAAAATCCTGGTATAGAAGATATCAGATAAATAAAGGGAGAATAGAGTACGTCGAGGTATTTCGTCACAATAGTGAATGATAATAACACCTAGAACGCTTTCGCCTGATTCATGAATTATTGAAATATATTCTCATGTCTCTTATTTGTGTTGTTAAAAAATTTTTGTTCTAATAATAAATTATTATTTCCTTTTCTTCATATAATCTTATTGTACTTAAAATGTCGACGAAACGAGAAAAAATATTTTATCGATGAAGATACTATTCAATATATTACATCTACTTTCTCGTCAATCATAATCGATTGAAATTATAAGATGACAATGTCTATCAATCAAAATAAGTAAAGAAATCGTTAATCAACGAGGTTATTAATACTATTTCCTTTCTATTCAAACATGGACGTGTTTCTACACGATGTGCACACCCTTTCGCCTTCACCATCACATTGTGCATTATGTTGTGTGTGAATAACGTGTAGAAGGACCCAAACATGTTCAGTTTTGATAAAAGTCTTGTAGAGATTAGATATCACGAAATATTTCGAATAAAAAATCTGATGAAAACAGCAGAAATTAAAAAAAAATTCTGAATCGAAGCTCTAAAAATCAGTCCATATGAAATAGATTTTCAGTTCAAGTCACTTAAAACAAATAAATAATTATGCAAAATTAACTAGAAAGAGTTTAAATAAAATCACATGAATATTTTAGATGGCAGATGTAACTTCAACTTTTTAAAATACAAAAATATTTTATTCTAACTAAAAAAATTAAAAATTCAATGTTTATAATTGTATATATACACTGTATAATATGCAACAAATAGTCAAAAAAAAAACAATGACATCTACTGAAACAATTACACAAGTTTATTGAGTATAATGTCTTTTATAGTAAAACATATAGACCATGCATACGCTAGAGCTTTTACATTATTTCAATCTTGTTCAATTTAAAGAATTAAACATATAATCTACAGTCTCTAGCGACAATTGTATTTATTTTTTGAAAAATAAGATATATATAGTATATATACAAAAGCTTATGTCTCTTTTTCTCTTTCAATAGTCATTGTTTACGTTTATTTGATGTTTGTTGAGATGATATTTTATGTAGATAATCAAATGATGTCGATTCATCGATTGAACTGGGTGTAATTTGTATAGCATACAGCATTCCAACACAATCTGTAGCATAAGACCAACGATCAGTATTCATTGTTTCTTCAAACCATTTAAATAAATTCATCTTGTTCATATAAATAATATAATAGTATACAATACAATACAATTATACAAATAACATCGTTTGAATAGATATTTTTTTTTATAAAGGACGTCCTTATTCGAAATATATACCTCTTACTAAATCAATCATGCATGCATTGATAAATGACAATGAAAACAAAAAAAGAGATGCGTAATAAATGTGAGTAATAATAACTTACGCTTATTAAAAAATAAGTAAGAGAAAAAAGACATTAGCAAAAAAGATAATTATGATTCAACAGACTGTTTGATAGTGGTTGATTAGTTTATATTTGAAAAATCTTACGAAAAATAAACGTTTTATCTCATTTTTGATTATTGAATAATACTTAGTATAGAAAATTTTGTTTTAACTGAACAGCATCTTATTATTTGCATTGAATATTCATTGTTGCAGAGTATGATAATATCCAAATGATGATATCTATTATTTTTGCATTGATATTTGATGATATTGTACATTCTTCATCACATTTCACTTGAATAATAGTTATTTTTGTGGCACTAATTATATCGATCGGATGGATACTGCTCACTGTAAGATTGGATGCTGCTTTACTACACTATAAATCAGTAACATCATTTAAAACTATATTAATTTTTCAATCAGTGAATATATGTTTCTAATTCCATTATATGCATATAACAAGTTATTTTATACCTATATGTTTCTCTCTTTACTTGTCTTCAGATATACATGAAACTCAATATATACCTATTCGTTTCTTTTGATCGATTATCAAGGTATAACACACAGAAAAGTTAATAGGTGAAAATACATTACAACACATGTGTGTCGATACATTGTCGTCTTATTATTGTTATTGATTTTTAAAAAAATCATATAATTATATTCCGAATCATAAAGTCTAAGTTCATAATTCATATATATATATATAATTAATGCCTGCACTATATTATATACTTGTTGAGTACAGAGCTTAACAAAATACTCTCCTACAGATACTATATTTTCAGCTAGCTAATAAAAAGAATCAGTTGAAATATAAAATCATTATATTTTTGCAAGCATAACAAAGATTTTATTGATCTTCATAATATCTATTATATGTTCAAAGGCTTTTTTTAACCATAACGAATATAGAATTTTAAATATAATAATTATTTACCTAATTAACAAAATGATGTACTGGATTATTATTATTATTTTAATCGAGTTCGTATTAAATCCAACACAGTATTTTCTATCAAGTCAAAATCTATGTGTTACCCACAGTTGTAGTTTGAGCAAATATAATTAATTACCGTTTATATAGTGTGTATACAATTTTCTGACTATACAAAAAAAATAATATTTACATAAGACATCACATCAAAACTTACTATTGTTCTATTAGAGTACAGTTATGTCTATATTATATTTATTTTTACAAATATGTATACTAATATAACATTATGCAAATGAATAATATAATTTAACTAACCTTATTTTCAGTCAATGTCATATTATTAGATGAAATTTTGTTTTTTCAATCTATTTATTAGCAAAGTTGAAATTACATGTGATTAAAGATATCGAAAATAAATCCTATATTCTTTCTTTATCGAAAGAGTATTTTTTTGCTTTTATAGAGTATAGTAAAAAAAAATTTAAAATTCTCTTTTTAATCGAGACACAATTGTATTATTGTATTATCGTATTCTGTTTTATTCTATACTGTTAAAAAACATGAAAAAAGCATTTTGTATGTTGAATAATATTTATTGCTTTAAAAGAAAAAAAACAAAAATACGTTTAATGCTATCATCACACATAACATCACGAAATTTACAATCGTAAAGGTAGGAAGCCGACGTTTTTTTAACACATTATTTATAGTTTTATAATAAACAGTTATAATAAACAATTTACCGAGATAAAAATGATAAAATTTTCTATCTATAGAATATTACATTGTTGAGGTTTATTTTAACCAATGGCAAACGATCAGAATACATCACCATTAAATATAAAACGAACGGCATTTGGTTCTACTGGACATCTTGGTTCATTATACGATGCACATCGAGATCATGTACTTGAAACATTGAATATAACTTTTGAAAAACCACCAGATCAATATCCTCAAAAAGCACAATGTATTCTTGAAAAAGGTCATAACATTGACAAACGAAATGCACTTGAATTAATCGGTATTGATGAACAATTACGTTTGAGTTTATTACTTAATTTAACACCAAAAAATGGAATAACTGAATTAATAAATTATCCATATCCAATAAATCAATATACTCGTATCATTCGTTATACTTATATACATCGAGAAGAAGAATTTCCTAATGACACACATATAGTACAAACATGGCTTCACTCTATAAAACCTGAAGAAAATGCTACACATATTATTACTAGTATAAGTTGGGGAATTGATATTATTATAATTTTACAATTACCGTCGGACGATCATCTTGTAACAATGATTGATGATGTACTTGAAAAATATCGAGCTTATTTAAATGGTGATTGTAATGAATTTAAATTAACTCGAATTGATATAAAATCATATACAAAAATTGCGGACACAAAAATATATTCAAATCTAACAAATTTAAATGAAAGACCAACTTTACATGATATATTTCATAGTATTACTCAACATAAAATGAATGAAAATGAACATCAACAATTAAATTATATTCTTTGTCCTTTAGAACAATTCTATTCGGAAAATTCGAATTATTCTCCTCTTGATTTAATAAATAATATTCAACTTGAACAATATTTATTTGATTTAAAAAATTCATTAAATATTTTAGAAGCTTATTTTAATGAAAATATGTCAACGCTCTTATGTGGACATTTTAAAGAACAACTTACTAATGTATATCAACAATGGTTTGCTATTAAAGAGGAATATAATAAATTAATTGAACATTTTTCAAAATTAATCATTGATATACGTTCTAATATAATAGCATTCGAAGTATTTGATGAAGAATTACAAAATGAAACACAAATAAGAATTAAAAAAAATATTTATAGTTTAATGAACAATGTATCCGATCTTAATGCTAAAGGACATTTAATTACTGATTTAAATCATCAACAAATTCAATATTGTAATGTTATTGAACGACATGTTGATCAAAATGATAATGAAGATAGTTTAAAACGTAAATTAATTATAGATGAAAATAATGATCGTGTTCTATGCTCGAATGATAATTTAAATAAAATTGATCCTGAACAATTAAAACAATTACGACATGCTTTAGTTGAAGAACTTGATAGAAATCCTAAATTACGTCTTACTTATGCGGATTTTTCTTATTGTAATTTTGAATTATCTAATATGGTTATATTACCAATTAGTAAATATTATATTAAAAAAAAATCAACTCAACTTCAAGAACTTTTATCAACTTCCGATACAAATAGTTCAATAAATTCAAATGCAACAACATATATTTCTCTACCATTATCATCATCACCAACAGCAACAACAACGACAACAACAAATGAATCTATTAATATTCTTCTTCTTGGTGAAACAAATGTTGGTAAATCGACTTTTATTAATGCATTTATTAATTATGTTACATTTAATACAATCGATAATATTCATTCTGATAAACCTATTGTTGCTATTCCTATTCTATTTCCTGTAACTGTTAGTGATAATCATGAAAAACATTTTGTAAAATTTGGTAACGTTCATCATTCGAAAAATGAAGATTTTGATCATCCAGGACAATCAGTTACACAACATTGTAAATCCTATGTATTTCATCCGAATCATAGCGATCGAAGAAAATTACGTATTATTGATACACCCGGTTTTGGTGATATTCGTGGTTTAGATCAAGATAATTTTAATATGCAACATATTTTAGAATATGTACAAAGATTATCTCATGTAAATGCTATATGTATTCTTTTAAAATCCAATCAAACAGAATTAAATCCATTTTTACAATCATGTCTTACACAATTATTTGATTTTTTTGGTAAAAATATTCGTCGGAATATTATCTTTTGTTTTACAAATACACGATCAACTTCATATATGCCTGGAAATTCCGCATTATTATTAGAAGATATGCTTTCATCATTTCCAATTCGTAAAATTCCATTTAAGAAAAAAAATACATTCTGTTTTGATAATGAATCATTTCATTATTTAGTTGCTTTACAAAATCATATCCCCTATAATGATCAAGATAAACAAGAATATGAAACAAGTTGGATAAATTCCGTAAGAGAAGCAAATCGTCTTATACGTTATATTCGAAAAAATCTTATACCATATCCAATACCTAATGAATGGGAATGTATAAAACGTGCACAAATTGAAATCGTTCAAATGATACATCCGATATTAGAAACAATCAGACATATTTTTCGAAGTATTATTATTCGGAAGATAAATTCATTAAGAGAATCAATTGAATTACATACAAATAATATATCTTCATATGAAAAACAAAATGATAGTTATCATAGTCAAAATCTTCCTCATCAACCAATTCCAATAGAACTTTTACATGAATATAAGATTCCAAATGATGCATTGAATCAAAAACAAAATGAAATGATCGATCAATTAACATTATTATGTCATGTAAGTGCTGAATTTGGATATTTTTTAGCATATTGTACGAGTTATCCAAATGGAAATCCATTTCTCACTGGTTTCTTTCGATTAATTACAGAAGAAAAAAGTATTTGTGATCGTCATAATCGAAGTTATGTGAATATACAATTAGTTGATGGATTAAAAGGTTTATTACAAAATTATGAACAACGTATGAAAGATTTTAAGACAAATGCAAAACCTAATAATTTATCAGATACTCAAGATTGGATTAAATATATGAATGAATATCCATTAATATCTGATTATGTTGTTGATAATAGTGGATCAACTATTACCTATGACTATGAATCAATAGTATCGTAAAGTATCACGAACGTTTTTTTTGTTTTTGTGAATATCGTAGAAATAAAGTTATAAGTTAATATATAGAATAATTTAAATGATAGTTTGATTGTTTTTCTATTTATAAAGTTTAACTTATTCGCGTTCATAATATTCAATTACAGGTCTTCTTTTTTAGCACCAATACTTCTTTTCTTTTCTTGTTCACGAACAAAAAATAACGTATAGATTTAAGCAGAAAACCAATATTTAATATAATCGACTATGAACTATTTTAATATTTAGAGGTTTGTTTAATTTTAGTTTCTATATATCAGGAAAATGTTTTGGTAAACTATAAAACGAATATTAGAAAGTAATCTATTTCACTGAGCGTTATAAATAAATTTTCGAAGATTAATTTGATGATAGGAAACATTTCTATTGTTAAGTTGTATTGTCTTTACTACTTTTATTTTGATCGTTGAAGTATATTCTTATTTTAGTATTTTTATGCGTCAATTATTGAGTTGGATTATTTGATAAACTATTTTGCACAGGATGCAATTCATATTTCAGAATTTGTTCAAACAGTCGAGTATATGTTCTAACTTTTACCAAAAATCTGACGTGGTTTTTATGGAAAGCTATGAAAATGGGAATACGTCTATTGTCAAAATCAACTATATTTTCTTTTTTCAAAGATATAAATATCATTTAAATATTCATACTGACTTCTATAAACTAGAATAGATTTACAATTTTTTATATCTTACTGTATATCTCTAATTTCACCAATATCTGATGTATCAATCGAGTATAATAAATGATTTCGTAGTTAAAAAATATAATTATGTCCAATCTGTGTATTTGATTCATTTTCATCATCAGATTGATATCCAATTAAAATCCTTTTTTTTAACTCTTGCCCAAATGCAGAAGGTATACATACCTACATTTTACCGTTAATTCATTTATTAAAAGATTTATACTAAATAGCGTTGATACATATCAATTTGATTCCGAAATATATTGTGGAATTTCCTATTTCTCTCTATCAACAGTTTTCGTTTGACGAATAGTTGTATGTTCCTCTCATAAGTAGAATGATTTGACGCCAAATAATCTGTTTAGAACAGGCAGATTGCTTATATAGACCAGCCATCTGTCTATGTTGTTTTCTAAAAATTTTGTTTTTAAATATAGAATGTAAGAATCAACCATTAGAAATAGTTATTTATTATTTTGACCAGATATAATTCTGAACACCAGCGGATTATTTTATGTGATTAATTGAATTGTTTGGTTAAAGTACTATTTCCTGCTTGATATATCTATTTTCTAATTAGTTCATGAATATTATGCAAAATGTAATCAACTAGGCATCGACTTGTTTTTTGCTTTTGATACTGTGAGGATGATAATCCTCTCTCTGTTTATTCGTAGAAAAGCACACGCTATATGTAGGATGGTGGAACACCCTGTTAGGGAAATGTCCAACATGAGATCAAGTGAACAAGATGAGAAAAAGTTCCATAACATATAGTATCACATATGTAAACGATAGGAGAGGAGAAATCCATGTAGCATAACGAAAGAAAAAATCGATGAACGATATAGAAGAGAACGAGAACACAGACATAGGAAGAGATGAAGAATCACACTGTATATGATATATATATACGTAACAACAGAATGAAAGAAACTATACATATATGACGTAAAATGATAACACCACGTAACAATACATAATAAATTAAATTAATAAAAGAGTCATACGGTCACATGATTTCAGCCCTTGTGGTCTTTTATTAAGATATATTATTCAATATTTATTTAATAGTAATTATAAAATTTGTAAAAACAAAAACAAAAATCAATAACATCTTACTTCTATACGTATAAAAGTTCATTTTCAGGGATTCAATAAAGCTGAAATTATGATACAAAGATTAAAGATTAACGGTGTAAATAGAAACATAAAAAAAATACATCGAAGAAGGTAACTAAACCATTTTATCTTAATCGCTGGATGTAATAAAATAATTTTGCTGCGCTGATACAATTGATCTGCTCTTGCCATTGACGCTAATCATGAAAGTCTGGCTATTGATAAAACAATAAAATAAATGATAAGAAACTACTACTCAATCATTATATTTTCATTCACCAAGAATTGTTACGGCATATATGATGTTATATTTTGACGAGTTACTGAGGAAATTTGAAAAGGTAAATTTTGAGGATAATTAAATAGCGATTCATTTTAAGTTTGTAGTTAATATCATTATTGAATATTGTATGAAGCTTATATTGCGAAGTCCTTGTATAATATCGGGTGAGTTGTATCAATAATGTTTGATAAGAAAAGCGTTGAACTGCTATCATTAATCTATTCTTGTTGCAATAGATGGGTCTTATAATTGTTGTGAAATAAAAAATGAATAAATCTGCTTAATTTCAACTACCATCCAGATGTAATTTTAAATCAGTAGAACGAACACTAATAGATGAAATTTTGCAGAAATTATCGTAACAATATTGATGGATATCGATATAATATTGAGATATTTATCAATGTATTTTTGTGATATTAAAGCAGGCAGAAAAAAGAATTTCTATTTGTGCATCAATTCATTCCCCATGATCTAAAATTAAAGTAAATAAAATTATCGAAAAAAAAATAAGTTTTTACTTTCAAATATAAAGCAACACGTTATTGGTCATGTGCATGTATATAGATAATAATTTTTGAATGGTTTATAAATCAAACAAAAATAAAGAATTCATTCAGGCTGTTTGTAACTTATTTGAATTGGTTGAGTATTACAATCCACTATTTAAAAGAGCCTTCAATTATAATCTATAGGATAAAAGAATATACATACACGATATTGTTTAGATTTTGATCGTGACGATCAAAACATCTTTTTTGCAGCAGTTTGGATGTTTGATAATTCGATGCTGATCATATACCAATAATTGAATTTTCTAATGTAATTTTCATCCTGATTTCATCTGATATACTTTTACAAACAATAAAAATTATATTTCTGATATTGTCCAGGTTAGAAAAAAAAAGAAGTAACTGGCTGCAGTTATAAATATTTTCAATCTATAGTCAAGTGTATACATAAAGCAATGTGCGATAATAATACACGCTTGAACGAATAAATACAAAAGACATTCGAATACTAAGAATAAATATTGTATATGCGATGATAGTATCGGCTGTATTTATATGTATAGAAAAGAAGAAAAAAAAGCAATAGATGTTCATACTTGATTTGATGGTTGCAATTAAAAAGTATATAACGAATAGTGATAAGCGATAATTGCATTTTAAATTTTTATTTGGTGTTTTATTAAGTTAAAAACATATTTCAATAGCTATTTTTTATTTTCTAAGTAAATTATTGAGGTATTACAATTTTTGTTATTGATAACTTGATAGTTACGTCAATGGTAATATATATAATAATTACTTTAGAGCTCTTTCTTTCTTAGATATCGTAAAATTAATGTATAAATATCTTGATTCAATTGACATGCCTATAAATATGACATGTATTAATAATACATTGAAATATCTCTCATTAAAAAACAATCAAATTGATGATGACGGTATAATTTTAATTTTAAATAGATTACAATCGAGTTATATTCTTGCACATTTATATTTTAATATGAATAAATTAACAGATAAATCCATTTAAATATTACTAATGCATTAAAAACGAATAATATCTTTATCTTTCAAATGATCAATTTACTGAACAACGAAACAATGGAATTACAATTAACTAAATATATATAGTAATTAATCAATACGAACTTATGTTTTTCTGTTAAGGTAAATTTACAAGAGAAGTAAAATAGTAAATATCATTTACTATTACTATTGTTGTATCAATAATCATCTTTAGAAAGTCATACGATTAGCAGCATAAAACTTTGTTTTGAAAGTATACTTTCTAAACGGTACAATACTTCTTAGCATAATGCTACTAATACAATGATTTGTTTTAAAATGTTATATGAAATAAACAAAGGAAATTTGAATTATTTTTATTATAGGGTATTACCATGGGAACTGAGGATGTGCGTGTGATTATCTTTATTTTCAATCTACATCGGTACCCATCCAACCACACCCACAAGATGGTTTTCCTTCGTGTTAACTAATTTCAAACAGTTGAAAATGTCCATTAGCAAATAAGAGACCTCGTACAATTAGAAAACGTATTTGATTTCATGTTTTTTTACAAGATTGCATTTCCTGTCATGTGAATGTCTGAATAACTGAGTTTAAACTTTCTATAGAAATTATTTCAATACTTTAATTTATCTTTAAAAACAACAACAACAAGATTTTGTACCTGAAGATATTCATTTTGTACTCAAGAATGGAGTCGTATTTGCACTGAATAAGACGCTCTTTTTTTCAAGAGTAATTATAAAGTATTGAAATAATTTCTCTAGACAGATTTAATTCAATTGTTCGAACATTCACATGGCAGGAAATGCATTCTTGAGAAAAAACATCGAACTACACACGTTTTCTAATTGTATTCATACTTAATTTTATATGAAGTATGATTGTATGACGTCTCTTATTTGTTAATGAACATTTCCTCTTACCATTTTTTATAATGTTGAATTATGTTCATTGTAGTCATTTCTTACTATTAATTCTAAATGCGATCCTATCTTGAGTCCATTCAGTATATTTTTCATACACGTATATATTTGAGAAAAAAAGTGAAGCACTCTTAAGAGTTATAGTTTGAAATAGAATGGTCCTATTAATATATGCTTCTTATTGAACAAAGTAAGAACCACTCGCTTCTATTAGTTTTTCTTGACATACAGAGAGTTTAAATATCCTTTTGAACATTAAATTAAGTGAATAATCGAAATTTTTCTATCTGATCGTTGTTTTATTCATGCAATTTTAATGTTCTATAGTTTAATATAGTATTGTTAACGAAAAGAAAATTGAAGATGAAGGTAAATATGTAACAGCGGCAGTCAGAAAATCTTCGACTTCCATAAACTATTATTTTCAACGTTTCTGCCTTTTGCTCCTTGTATCATTTTTATTTTGAATATTTTTACTTCCGATCAAAGTCAAACAAGTCGTGCGACACAATATACTAATCTGTAAGAACATTTTTTGTCCTTGATATGATAAAATAAAAATTTGCGTGTCCATAATAGTTTACCTGGAAAAGCGGGAGTAAACACGAACTGGAATAAGAAAAAGTAATTTATTTAGAATAGCGAAATAAGCTTTTCTTTACAGATATATGTTTAGTATAAGAAATCAGGAGGAATATCTCAATAAATAATACCAACGTTATTAGCTGATATGAGCTTCAATAGGACTTGATCAATATATTATAAAAATCAGGATTCTTTTTTAATAATATTTCATCGCTTCGTCAAGTTCTATGAATGTAACATGAGAAACAATTAGTTATCAATGAATAATGTTTATGAATGAATAAAGTATTCTATCTACATGAACTCATCTTGTAAACATTTTTTTTAAAAGCAAATATAATTGCATTATATTCGTCTTATACACATATTCACACCCTCAAAACAACAGATAAATAGAGTGAAATATGAGAATATTTCCAAGCAGAAACTAGTTTACTCATATTTACGAACTGTTCTCACTACACTTCTTTCTTCTATTGTTTTGGCTAGGATCAACTTTTTATTATGTCCAATTCAAACATGGATTTAATTGCAAGTTTAAATACCGCCTCACTTTGGATAAATCGTATCATTCCACCTCTTCAAATCATTTTTGGAACCTTTGGAAATTTGTTCAACATTATTATATTCACTCGCCGTTCTTTACGTTCCAATCCATGTTCTACTTACTTTTTATTCGGTTCAATTAACAACTTCTTTGCTATTTATGTAGCTTTAGTCACTCGTTATCTTGCATCTAGTTGGAGTTTAGATCCATCTGCAAAAAATACTGTTCTTTGTAAGCTACGTCTCTTCTTCGTATATGTTTCTCTTTCGTTAGTATTGTGGTGTACTGTTCTAGCTAGTATTGATCGATTTCTTTCAAGCTCACAGAGTGCATATCTTCGTCGTTTCAGTAAGGTATCAATTGCTCGGAAGATTATCATATGCACTATTATACTTATTGTTCTGATTCATATACACATATTAATTTTCTATGAATCCCAACAAAACACTTGTAATACGTTTTCATATGCATACAGTATTTTCTTCAACTTCTTTTTTCTTATTGTTGGTTGTATTTTACCAATTACACTGATGGTTCTCTTTGGTATATTGATGATTCTCAACGTTCGTAATATTCGCAATCGTGTTGTTCCGCAATTCATCAATGCACGAAATGAACGTTTACGTGCAAACAATCGTCAAATGATTATAATGCTTTCATTTCAAGTGTTGACCACTACCGTGTTCTCGACTCCTTTCGCTGTTACCAATCTATACGCTACAATAGTTATAACTATTCTTAAATACAAATTATCAGCGACTGGCAATGCTATTTACAACATTATATCGAATCTTTCTCGATTACTTTATTATACCAATCCCATTATTGGATTTTATATTTATACTCTTACTGGACCCAAATTTCGCAAAGAAATGAAACGATGTGTTCGATATGGATTGAAATTTGCTTTAATAATAACTGGTTTAAAACAATGTTTGTCGTTGAGAATTCAACAAGAGTTATTCGATGAGAATCAACTGGGTACTATTGATGATTCATTGGAATTACGTAGAAGAGGAAATACTATTCACCCTATTCAACGTCAGCGGACAATGACGTAATATCTACTGTAGAAATATATGAAAATGACACTAGACATTAAAATTCGATATCAAGACGGAGAATATCTTGAATATGTTGTTCAAACAAATGAGATAGTTTAAACATTAGATTGAAAATGTCAATATAAATTTTACGAAAACTAACAACTATCTGATTGAGTACAATTAGTTTCAATTGGTGATCTGTATACGTTTTTTTTTAATTCTTTGTATCCTCTATATCTATCATTATAAAACTTATTTTAATATTCAAAATAAAATACAAAAAGACAAATTTAGTGTATTTATTATAGTATCAATGTCTTCTTAAATACTGAAGGTAGATGTGTATATAAGTACCATACACCAATACCTACACATCCATCCATAATCTCAAATGTATGCTATTAAGAAAATGTTATTATAATATCACCACAAAACTAAATAATTGATGATAATTGATACTTTTAAATTAATTTTATTTTTGGTCTTAGTTTTCATTAGTTTTTTATTCTAATATTAATTTTTGTTTTTATTTCCGAATGAGAATTTAAAATGCACCCGAATCAGTTGTCTCTCACAATTATTCAGTCCGAATAAATCGAACGTCGACAGTTTTTGCCCGATTTAAAAAAGTTGGGTGTGGTTGTAATTATTTTTATTTTCAATCCACACCCACACCCATCCTCATTACAGGGCGCTTTTGTCGTTTGAATAAGTATGACATTTTATTTATTGACTCCAATGTTAGTTGATGATGTTCGAGTCAGGTGAGTCTAGATGGGCAGATATATAGCAGACAGTACAAGTTAGTTGAGAATCTGTTATTAATGAGTTGTTTGTGGTTGAGAAACATGGGTAGCTTGATGCCAAGGCAATACTTGATTTAGTCTCCGAAATAACACAAACTGCTTGAACGCATTGATGAAATCTTGACGAAATCGGTTCGATGCCACATAATAGCAGTAGAAAGAACACTGAAAGAAAGAAGCAGATAATTTATTGATATTTTAAACAGCAAAAGACATTAACTCTGATCAACTAGAACTCGTGGGTTAAGAATCATTATATAAACTTAGTTAAAAAATGTTCATGTAAATCAACAGAATTTCACTTACTCAGTTGTATCCAGCAAACGATTTTATCTTTGTATTTTATCCTCTAATGTCGAGATCAACCTGTTAGATCCCATCTGCTTAGATTTCTGATTAGAGGAAAACTGAAACAGTATAACGAATGTACCAAAACATCTTGGCAGATGAAACTTAGAAAATTTTTACAATAGAACGAATTTAAACCGGTCTCATATTCTGAACTGTTTCGATCCTTTGAGTGAGTGTTCTTATGTTCACACATCTGTCTCTAATAAAAGTTAAATTTTCGCATTAGAGAATAGTATTAGAACAACAATAGCAATCATTAAACTGACGAATTCTGATATATACATCATAATAATAATTTAGATATAAGGGAAATATTGAATGTATAATTGATAAACTATAGTTATTTACCGCATATGTTCCATATCCATAATTACTAAAAAAAAGTTGAATGACTTGCTCTATTACACGCCGATACGAATCTTTGACAATATTCATCGTGCTGATGAAATAGACTTGTGATATTCCAGCCGGAACTTGGAACATAAATACACTCGCAGAAAGAAGTAATGTCATATTTGTTATCTGTCTTGTGAGATCAAGAAACGCATGCCGAGCGTGTAGATGGACATAAGTGAGAAAACCAAATATAGTGATTATCCCCATAGGTATAACAGTCCAAAGACCGAGAATTACAAAGTAGTTATGATATGATGCATACGCTGTATTCGTTGAGAGACACACGAGTGTTCCTGAAACAAAGACAAGTTGTTGGAAGTAAACGTACGGTACTTCATGAATCATCCATATAAACACACTAACGATAATAAAGTAACGAGCTAGTCGAACACTGCTCAGTTGACGGTAGACGACAGAGCGTGATGAAGCGAAGAACGCATCGATCGACTGCAAGCAGAGACATGTGAAGGATATAAGAGCAGCTACATCAATAAGAGCAACACGGAGTTTACACCAAACTTGATTTGCCACTGTGGCATCAGTTTGAAATCCAAAACTTAGAATTCGAGTGAAAAGACCGCAGTAAAGAACAACAAGATCGAAAAAAGATCGCACCATTGCATAAAGTGAAGAAGCATTGTGCTTATAGTTGCCTGAACTGATAAAAACAAAGATGTTGAGGAGATTACCTAAACTGCCACCGATGAGTATAATGAAGCCGATTGTAAGATTGAGATTTCGAGAAAGACGATCAAGTTGAAAAATGATTGATGTATTCGTCAGATTCGATGACATATTTTTTTTTACAACGACTATTCTTTGATGATTATCTACTCTCTATAACGAGCAAAGCTAGATATATACACACTCAATTTTCATACAAGGAAGTATAATTATAACTATACTTTATCATATAATTTATGAAGATATTACGCTGCAATAAACATCATATCTTTTTTTTGATTTAAATAATGCACAACGGTCTGTAATTGTAATGCATGACATAAAGGAGCAAATGTTGAAGCGATTGATGTTGCACTCTTTAAACGATCCGTTAGATGAACAGCTTTTTTTTAGAACATCCGCGGCGAGAAGAATCGTTCGATAATTTGCACGCATAGAAGCCATTAATTGCAGTTACCGTTCTTATTATCTATTATAATAATGTGCAAAATTATAGGATTATTTCAAACAGATCCATGTGTTTGTTCTACAAAGTAAACGGTTACTTTGATAATAAATATGTCATCATTGTTATCTGCTTCAAATTATTAGAGGAAAAAATTAAGGATAATAAAAGACCATGCGTATTATTACCATTTTCTACTTTCCGCTTCTCATATAAAAAATGCACGTTGTCGATGCAAATAGAAGTTTCAATTTTAACTAGATGAAATTAAAATTTTCTCTAATGAGTCTAATTAGAAACACTGTAGACCAAGTGACTTTCTATCAAAAACACTAAGATATTGAACCAAGCAATTCATTTTTTTTTGAAAATATCTGGTTTCTAAGATAATAACTTTTGGCTTTGTTCTGGTAGAGAAAAGCGGATTTTAACCTTATATACTAAAAGTATTTTGAGTATTTTTTGTGAAAAATAAAGTTTATTTTATTAAAATGCTAGTTTTTAAAAGCTCTACTTAGTCTAAAAATTTCATTAGAAGCTAAAACTACTTTTGTACGACGTAGTTGAATCCTCATGGAAATACCCTATATCATTAAAAAAAATTTGCTTCGCTAATGTATTCATCAATCTGTATTTAATAGGATTTTTATCTTATATTATATAAAAATAGATAATATTGTCACGCATTTCCTTTGATGGAAAAAAAAAGATTTTTATTTGATATTGATCATTTATTTAGGTAATTCAATAGTACTGACAATAACAACATTTAAACCTACATTATTCCTATCAATATGTTCATGTCTATGATGTTCTTCGTCTCGCGTTGGTTGTAAATGTATATTAAAACATTTGCAAATTATATGTTTTAATTCATGTCGAAATGCTTTTGATATAATCATAAATACGAAGAAATTTGTTGAATAAGAAATATTGAAAAGAAAAGTAACATATCTATCAACAAAATTAAGAATTGTAAGTTGTAATAATGTCCATTGTTTATCTTTTGTTATAGCTTCGAAGATATAAAATATAATAACTAACATACTAAATGTAATAAAAATAATATCTTGTCCAAATAAACAACGAAGTAATTGAAAATCTTTTTTTGTCATTGAACGAACTTCATGTCGTTTTCTACATTGTACTGATTGAATATTTTGAACATTTTTACAAGCAAATATACATAAGATAATCATAAGTGAACAAAAAAATACATTGATCGTCCCTAACGAATAAGTTACAAAATCATCATAAGATTGAGGAAAACTACAAATAAAATATGATGGATATATTTCATAAATATCTATTTTAATAAGTACATGACAATTAAATATGATCCAGAAAATTGTACAGGTACTAATAGAAAAGTATGCTAAACGTTTTGAACTATATAAACGTGTATCAATATTTCGAGAAGAAATTAATAAACGATCAATTGATGCAAGAATAAGAACAGATGGTGGAAGGGTAGTTAATAGAAAAGATGTATAATATAAAAGTTTACATAAAATAACACTTGAATTTTGTAAATAAATATTGAAACCAAAATTAGTAATGGCTCCGAGTATAGTCGAATTAAGATAACATATATTTAAAACAAGACAAACTTTAAAATAAAATACACATACATTTTTTTTCCAAGATTTTTTTGTAAATATAAAAATACTGAAAATATTTCCAATATTACCCAAAATCCAAAATATAACAAGAACATATTTATTCATAACCATAACTCCATTGTTTAAATTAGTAATTTGATGATAATCATGAGATACATTCATCTTGATTTAATATAATGTCTGCTAAGTGAGTGTTTTCTCTTTTAAAGATATAAGATAAGTAATTATCTTCAGACAGATTTTTATTTTAAACTGTTATAATATTATACGGAGGCGTTCGAGATAATCTTTGACTAAAAATAGTTGTAATTGATATAATATGCAATTATACATCTATTTTGGTTTATCATATTATATAGTTCATTTTTAATTCATTCGCAATAGATTAACAGTTAACTTGATCAAGAAAAATAAATAATTGATGTCTAAATTATTCAAAAACAGAAGTTACTCTTTCGCTTTTTAATTAACATTTTTTTATTCAAAACTTTAGATTCGCACCTTGATGTTTAATATATAATTGTGAGGATATGAATAGATGGATGATATATAACTACGCATACCCTCAAGATATTCAGTAGATAATTGAAAAAATGATAAAGTCATTCTAAGAGCAAAACTTAAAAGAGAATGGAGATTTTAATGAGGTTTTTGAAATGTATTAAAATGTCATGAAAAATTTTAAGATAATATTTTTTTCAATTAAGTAAAATCGTCTATATAATTACAGTTAAAATCCAAATGAATCATCCTCTCTTTCTTTATTGCCATGATTAAAAATTATTTTTCAGTTATAAAGTTTCAAATAACATGCTACGAATACATTTAGAGGTTTATTGATTCATTCTTTATTTTAATACAAATAATTAGTATAATAAAAGAAATATACAAGTGTATATTTCATATGTATCAAGTTTTAATAGGCGTGTTTTATGAGAAAACTATTTTAACATGTAGATAGTCCATCTCAACTTTCTCGAGAAAAACGCCTATTAGGATTATGATTTTGAGTAAAATTATGATTTTGAGCAAACATATTTAATCCTTCATCGAGAAGACCAGTTAGACTTTTTCTAGCGAATAGTTGTTTTTCAGGAATCTCGAGTGGATGAGATTCAGGTGCTTTATGATTGATTAATGGTCCATTAAAGTTCTTATGTTGTGCCTAAAAATGAAGAGTAAACGAATATATGATTAAATAAAATTGCTTCACTCACTTGTCGAGCAAGTGCCAATATACACTGAGTTACTTGAGGAATATTACGCTTTTCAAATAAATCTACCGTTTGAAATAGAACTGAATCAACCAAACCATATGCACGAGCTGCATTTTCTATTTCACGTATACATATATAAATAAACAATAGCACAAGAGTTTTTTTACTTACGAAAAAGTGATATATTTTCACGTGATTGAAATCCTACACCATCTTTACTGTATTTCGGAATGGCATTTGGTTGAAGTTTATTCATTAATCTTTTATTAGACTGGGTTTAAAAAAAAATAATCAAATTTAATTATAATATACTTGCATAAGATGACACCATTTCTAAGTGCATCTTCATAAGAACCATTTGGAAATTTCTCACCGATTACTGACTCGATCCATGTTTGTACTTCGTTGTCAAGTTCGGTATCGCGTTTTGCTGCTATCTAAACAGTTTACATATATTTGTGTATGTCAAAATGATGACAGTTACATTGACAAGAAAAGAAAAATCATAGAGCAATCAACATAAAGCTGATATTCTCCGTATCGCGGTGCTAGACAATAAGTACAAGAAATATAGCGATGACAACTACTTTTTACTGTATGGACTATATTTTACTGTAACAGTATATGAGAATATAAAATATCTTTGTTATCTATTTACTTTTTTTTGTAGCTAATAATGATCTAAAATTCAAATAGTTTGTAGACGTGTAGGACAAAAACAACTGCATAGAGATTTATATATATATATTAGTATGGTTAAGAGAAGAATAACTGAAATAATAAGATTTTATTTTTTTGGAAAATATCTATAATGTCTCTCTTATATTAAAAAGCTTTTCTGGTATATATTAGATGTAAAATATTTTTCTTACCCTTGCTTGGTTAACGGCTAACGTTCCATATGCAGGTCCATAATTAGCCATTGTCTTTACTTGGCACAACAAATATCAGAACTAAAATACTAGAGAAGTAATAGCGATGAATATTCTTAACTATTGTATATGTAGATGTATATATATATATATATATATGGCGGAAGAACAAGTAATGATACGAAAAGAGAACAACGACAGGCCTATTATTGATGTATGTTGATTAATTTCCTTCTTTTGAATATGAAATAAACGGAGGAAGGAGGGGAGAGAGAAATAGAACTAGAGAAGAAGAATCAACACGACTATTGTAGTATAAATATCGCGTACAACAAAAAAATTCATATGTGTCATAGTAATATATTACTTTCTTTCATACACGTGTATCCCAACGTGTTATTAGCAAACATATTATTATACAAAATTAGTAAAGAATGTAAAGGATTTTTCTTTTGCCATGTGAATAAGAATATTGACGTGAATCTTTGGTTTATGTATTACTCACTAATTGAAACATATACACAATACTGAACAAAATATTTACTATTACATTATATCTTATTTTATTATGAAACATATTTCGATGTGCGTCTATGAGAAATAGTTGTGGGGAAAGAAGAAAATAAAATCAATGACAATAATATCATATTACTTTGATGATAGTTTGATGTTCGAAAACATATCTGTCAACATATACTGACATTTGACGGTATGGTTGAGTACAGCTGTTTTGTGTTTCATTGAAAAATAAGTCAATTGTGCAATTGATTTACAACATACGAGACCAGATGGTTATTGTAATACTGTAAGATGTAGTGATAACTTTATAAATCAAGTTTTAATGTAAATCAATTCATAAGAAAATTAAAGTTATTATATGTTTATTGTCAGTCGTAAACATAAAATTTTCAACAAAAGGCAATGCCAGTCACAGATGAAGTATTTGCTTATCTATAATCCGATTTGTCTTTGATAAACAATATTTTGAAGACTTTCTTTCATTATTGTATGTTGCCTCTATATAAGTAACAATTGAGTTATAATAGAATTAACAGATTATTATATTATGTGAAATAATTGATCAGACACTGATCTTCAATTATTTTCTACTATTCGAAATATGCAGTCTTCTGCTATATATATGTATGATACACTACTTATAATGAGATAACTATAAAAACATACGAATGTCATAATCAATTAAATTAACATTTGATAAAACTAATAATTTTTATACAAAACGAATATATTAAAGAGAACATTCGTAAAAGAAAAACGTGTAGTATATGTCATATTTCATAAACATTGTTTTATATATTTACTTTTCTATTATTTCGAACGTAAAATAAAGTTCTTATCTTTTTATTGTATTATTATTCTTCTATGAGTCAAGGACAATTCTTGCACAACATACATGCAACATCTTAACTATCTTCTTCTATATAAGTAAGTAACTATATCACATAGAATATCATCCAAAATGTTGTTTTATTTATTTATTATTCTTTGTAACATATTTTTAAATCAAGCAGCTATTCTTCAATGTGATTTTGAAACAGCTTGTAATGATTTCAACACGGATTCTAATTGGGGTTTAACTGATGGTGCTCATCCTCAATCTATGAATCATGACCATACATTAAATACAAGCTTAGGTCATTATATTTTCTATGATCCATCAAGTGGTTCACCATTTAAAATAGCTGAAATTAAAACAAATGATTGGTTAAGCTTATCAACTGATCGAGCTGTATGTTTTCAAATGTGGTATTATACTCCTCGTATAAGCCTTGCATTTAACATTCAACTTGTACAAGGTGATGATGAACAATTAACACGCGTTGCAGCTTCAATTCCAGGAAAAGATCCTTCAAGTAATGATTGGGCTTTAATTAACATAGTATTACCAAGTGAAAAGTTTAAAATATTTATTCGATTAAATAACACAGGTCGACCTTTGGTATTTGATGATATGTCTGTTGATTATTGTGATGAACCACATCCTACACCTACGAAAATTTTATATGAATGTGATTTTGAATCATCTTGTTCAGAAGATTTCATTTCGTTACCTGTATATCCATATCAATGGTCAATTTTAAAAGCAAGTGATGCTATTAAAATAGAAAAACAAGCTCCATCTGTTGATTATACATTCGGTAATCAATCAGGTCATTATGCATTATTACCTATTTCAAAAGTAGTTGGTGCAGGCAATGTTGGCTATCTTCATTTGCAAACAGAATTGAATATTACTACGGAAGAATCATACTGTTTAAATTTTCAATATTATGGTTACGGACAATCATTTTATAGCAATTTAAAAGTATATCTACGAATGTCAGATGAATCTGAAGCAGTTCAAGTGATATGGCCCAGTAAACCATCTCAATATTCGTATGTAACTTTGAAAAGAAAATAATATTATAATTATTTACTGTTTTATTTTAGATATACGCGTGGTAAATGGTGAGTATTTATAAAAGATAATAAAATATATGTTTAGTTATTTTCTGAAGATCTGTAATAATAATGTGATATGATTTTTTTTTCTGTATAGGACTTGGGGTATTACCAATTTACCTGTTGGACAATACTCACTTCTCTTTCGCATGGACACATCCGATAATACTCAACTCTCGTTTGCTCTTGATAATATTTCTATTACATCATGTGCTTATCCACCATATGAACCTAGTCCATATTATTCAATTCTTTCCTTTTCATGCAATTTTGATAATTTGACTATGTGTGATATGACTAATGGAGATACAATTAGTCCACCTCCTACATTTAATTTTACTGTCATGACTGGTGAGACAATACCTAATCGTGAACTTGGTCCAACTCGAGATCATACAAGTAATTCAACAACAGGTGGTTTCCTTTATTGGAATCAACAATTGCCATTTACTAGTAAAGATGTTGGTAGAGTACATCCATCAACAACAATTGAACAAAATTCTGGTATGTGTATTAAATTTGCTTATTATGTCAAATCTTTGGCAGTGAATAAGAATGGAACAAGAGTGTCGATATCAGCTGGTGGATGTTATGGAGCATATTTATGGATGCAAGCACTCGATGATAGTCAGGGATGGCAAACAGTTATTATACCTGTATTAAAATTTGCGTGTGGTGAAACATTCTATTTTGATGTTTATCAATCTCTACCGATAGCGGTATCTGTTGCTTTTGATGACATCGAAATTGATCAATGTAGTTATCTCATTCCTACCACAACAACCTCTACAACAACAACTACTACTACTAGTACTACTACTACCACTACTAAAACTACAACAACATCGCTTACTAGTAGTTCACCAACAACACAGTCTTCAATGTCTAGTACTGTTTCAACAACAACATCTATGTCTACCACAACGTCATCAAGCAATGCTTATCGACTATCGTCTTTAAACACATACAGTTTAATAATTATTTATTTTCTTTCTCAAATTTTTCGAAATTTGTTTTAAATTTTTTTAATTTTTTTTAAATAACTTTTTTTTACATCTATGTGATCACATTAAAATAAATTTTTATATTTCTAACTATTTTACCGAATTATGAGAAGACGTAGCACCCATCAAAGTAAAATATATGCACGTTGAATATGTTTTATATAACTTTGTTTTCTTTTTTCTTTCATTCGTTCTCATCTGATGTTCGATTTTTAAGTAGAAATGAAGAAAAAAACGTGAGTGTTGTACGTCCTCTAATATTTTATTTTTTCCCTCGTCATGTCAAAACATGCATGGAGAAGAATATGTTTTTGACTAATGACAATTAATCTTAATTGATATGGACTAACTATATGAAAAAAAATTAATTTGTAAGATTATCTGTTACCGTCATTCCTTTTTATACATTGGCAAACACATTTGTTATAATCAATGGTTCTTTCCTACAGCGACGATATATAGATGTCTGGGCAAATATTTACAATGATCTCTTTATTTTTTTTTCAGTGCTTTTGCTCAAAGAATAAATTTATCATCATCAGATTGTTCTCGAGAGCAGGGAAGGGGTGACTAAAAACTAAAGATATTTTCAATCTATTTAAATTTTCAACATAATATAATTTTGATAAATTAGCAAATAATTTTGGTACTCAATCATTTTGTTAATAAGCTAACTACTTAAAATAAAATATTATGTATGGAATAGAATTGTTCATAGATTTTGTTTCAGTACGATTATTCTCACTGGAAAAAAATATCCGACAAAAATAAATTGATTTCTTATAACTAAATATTATTTTTCCGGGATACAAAATATTGCTGGTTAGAAAAAACCCAATAAATAAATGTGACTCAGTTTCTTCCAAGTTATATTGGTAATTTTCAAGTAAGAGTAAAGAAAAGAATGAAAGAATTCTTCTACCACATTCGCGACGTTATTGTTCTTTTTCTTTCCGTTCTTCTTCCGTATATAAAGATCTCGATTTTTGTGTTTTATAGTATTTTAATTCAAACAACAGATCATAAAAAAGTGCGTTGCGATAACGAAGTATAAAAAATAGTTGGAAATTCAGTGCTCGTCTTACAACATTTACAAATAAAAATATCAAGCATGTCCAATTCGAAAGAAATCGATGATGAAGTAAGTGAAGTCTTCTTGATAACTCTCTCTTTACTCAACTATCATTTTTAATACTTTTTTTGTACTTTTTTTCATAGCTTGAAGCTAATGATAATGTATTCTCTCGACCCAATCGCTGTCTGAGTAAGTAATACTATCACATTTAATCTGATTTGTAATGTGTCGTTATAGTGCCCGAATTACCTCTTGCACAAGACGTTTCAGCGATAGAAATTCAACAAGCAATGGAACAATTTCCACGAATTTTCACTGAATTGTATCCATCATCAGGACCGGCGCTTTACTTGGGTCCACTGAATGAGGCCATGGATCAATCAATATTCAATTCGAATGAGGTAATCCTTTTCTATCATTATTATATTACAAACTAATTTAATATAATTGAATTTTCTAGTCACGTCCATTGTTGATTTATCTACATCGAACTGAAACAGCAGCTATACATTGTTTCTGTAAAAACGTGCTCTGTAACGAATTTATCATCAACTATCTAGCAGAGAGCTATATTGTCTGGGCATGGGATTGCTCAAAAGATGCCAACTATCAACGGTAATTGACTTTTATAACATAGGAACGAAATGTCTCGAATATATCAGAAATTGATAACAGAAAATAAGAATAATATATTACTGAATATTGAGCTCAAACCTTTCCAATGATACCTTATCTTTAGATATTGATAGAATTTATTTTATTTTTTTATATAATAGGTTGCTATGGATGCTTCTTCGATATATTGGTTCCAGTGCAGCCGCGATGGTAGCTGCAATACCTCTTGGTGAATTCCCTGTGTTGATTTGCCTTCTATCTACACAACAACATATCATTCTTGACAGCACCACATCGCCAGATGAAATATACACTCGTCTTATTGAAATTCGAGACGATTTTCATAGTCCATCAGAGGAGATGATTCGCGATGGAAGTCAACGCGTATCTATCTGTTCCAATGAAAACTGGTATCCAGGATCAAGCCAATTAGAACTTGTCGAACAACAGAGCGATAAGTTTCGCAATATTGCTAATTATTTTAGTAATAGTTCATATCAGATCATTCGTGTTGAACAGATTAATAATAAAAAATGGCTCACCAAATATGAAGAACAGAAGGAGGTTATTTGTAACCGAATCGGTCATAATAGATCTGAACGGATTCTTTTTCATGGCTGCCTACGCGAAACAGCACAAGATATTCTTCGACAAGGATTTCACCGTGATCAAATTAGCATACATGGTAATACGAAGGAAAAACTGTTAAAAAATTAGCCAGAAAAGAGTTTTATTAACATATTTTATGTTTTAGGAACCAAATACGGTCACGGATTTTACTTCTCGACAGATCCAAAACGTAGTCACATCTATGCTTTACCTGATTTACCAAGTGGTGGAGAACGAACAATGCTTGTATGTCATGTTCTCATCGGTGGAACACGCCGGAATCATTCAATTATGGAAACCTATCCGTGGATGTTCGATTCAACTACCGCTGGATCCGAGATCTATGTAGTTTTCTCAAATCTACAAATTTTACCAGAATATCTTGTCACATACAAATGAACTGTGAAACCACTCAAACATGTCTTTTATTATCATATACAAGTTTTAATTAATCTTGAAAAAATAAATTATAAATTTTAATTGATTATCGTTAAACGAATTCTTGAGGGTGTGGGTACTATGTGAATACAGTATCCATACCCACACCCTAGATCTATTGATATTCTTATCTTTGTCTGTTCTGCACCGTAGCATAGAAACAAAAAAAATCGAATATATCTTTCATCTCCGGGCCTTTCTATATTTTTTTTTCTTTTTCCGTTCTTCCAAGAACAGTAAATGTGCTTAGTCATTTAGAGGAAAGGAAAAATAATATAATTTCTCTCTTTATATGAATGACAAAGCATAATAATATAAGTTGTGATATAAAGTAAGTGACTTCTGTCTATGCTGTCAACCCATTATCTAAGGTTAGTTTGTCTAAAGATCCACAGAATGTTTAGTATAAGAAGAATGAATTTGTGTTAAATTTTTTAAGTATTAAGAAGGTGATGAGTCATCTCTGTTGATGCAGTTATATTATGGGTACAAGTTAATAATAAGTTTTATTTATTTTAACCAAAATGTTACGTTTTTCTTTCGTGCTCTTTACTATAATAATTAATCTCATTTTTATACTCAATTGATTGAAATAAAATGTATGAAAAGAAATACATATATATTTACTAACAGTTTTTGATAACGAAGATGTCAAGTATTTTTTTGATCCATCAATCATACGAGAGAAAAAAATTAAAAATGAATTTTATTTTACAATGACTATTTCAAAGATATATAAGATATAATTGTCTTTAAAAATATTTAATTAAATGAGTAATATATTTCGTTCGATAGAGGGCGCAATAATATAGTATAATGACACATAGTATTTGTACTACAATCTGATGTGCTTATCTTTTATCATTTATGTCGAATCGTAGGCATAAAATAGAAATGTGTCGTCACATGCAAAGACTAACTATCTGTATAACTATTTCATGAAGCAAACTAGATCAATTGTAGTTTTGTATTAATAAACATTTATATTATCATTATCTTTTTAATACAATGTAAAATGTTTTTTAGATATAATCATTAAATCTTAACTTCTTATTATAAATTTCTCTCAAAAAAAATTAAACATTAATATGTGCTCAGTAGTACGTACAGTTGCTGCTTCTAATGCGCGTATCTTATCTTCTTTAAAATCACCACTAAATGTTGTCGTTGTTGGTGGTACATCAGGTATTGGTCGAGCAATTGCCCTTTCAATTGGTCAGCATTGCCCATCTGCCAACATCACTATTATCGGACGAAACGAATCTGCTGCTAATTCTATATTACCACAATTAGGTTCAAATTCAAAGTTTCTACGTGCCGATGCATCGCTTATGTCTGAAATTCGAACTGTTACACAAAAAATTGATGCAGTGGATATGCTGATTTTAACACAAGGTATATTGTCAATGGCTGGCCGTACACCAACGACAGAAAATATTGATAATAAACTAGCTTTACATTACTATGGCCGAGTATTATTCGTACAAGAACTTCTGCCATTACTTCGATCATCGCAAATCGGTGGTAAAGTTCTGTTTGTTTTGGATAGTGTTAATGGTAATCCATCAAAGGTCAATTGGAATGATATGGCTCTTGAAAATACATATTCCCTTATGGCGGCTGCCACACATGCAACAACATTTACCGATCTTGTTATACAGCATTTTGCGTCACAACCAGAAAACACAAATGTCACATTTACACATGCAGGTCCAGGTGCAGTTCGAACACAAATAGCTGATAATTTACCATTCTGGAGTCGATTGCCAGCGAAAGGTCTCATGGCAGGTCTCATGGCAATAGGTGTTGGTACCAGTCCAGAAGATTGTGCTGAATATATGATACATGGAATACTTGGAACGGATAAAGGTTGCAGATATGTCGATCGTAAAGGTGAAACTGTGCTAAAGAAAACACCAGCACAACCAGATATGATAGAAAAAGTTTGGGAACACACATCTCAATTACTTTCTTCAACGCAAAGAAACCATTCTTAAGACATATTCTAACATATTCATAAAGGTTATTCGTATTTCATGTTAGTAACTTGATCAACATTTTATTTACTCATTATTCAATAGTATTTTTCAACCTTTTTTTTCAAATAAAAGTTTAACAGGACTAACTCAGACAAGACAAAGTAACTAAAATATATTTCTGTTTATCTAAAAATGAAATTATAATAGAAAATATTTTCATAAAATAATAGTAATGAGAGTATGGATGTCGGCTTTAATCTGATGTTTATAAGAACACACCTACACCATCCTTTTTTTCCAAAGCGGCATAAAAATCTAGAGTGGGTGTCGGTATGAGTACGGTGCATGGATGCGAGTATTACTGTTGTTTTTTTCTTTATCCTCACCCACATCCACACCCTTATAAATACTTAGTTGATCATTATTGGTTAGGTATTCTTGGGGCATAATTGATATTCTATCAAAAGTCTAATCAATACAGGCGTTTTATTTACAAACATTTTATTAATTTACTTGAATTATTTTTCAGTGTACAGAAAAAAACACGGCCAGTAAGTCTGCATATGAAAGTATTGATTTAACAAAAAATATTAGACGAATTTCAAACAAAGTATATAAATAAATTCATGCTCCAAAGATACTTTTGTCTACTATTTCTTTGGTAATCTAATTCATTCAAAATAGTGTTTTCCACGAAAGGAAAAGGTTTAGGTTTTTGTGGTCTTTTTATAAAAAAAATCCCAAGCCATCTTGGGGGTGTGGGTGTGTGTATTCTTCTCATTCATTACCCACACCCTCAAGATGGGTTCATCCCAGAAAAAAATTGCTCATCATCATAATTATATTGTTCTTGTTGGAAGATTTTTTTATGCTCATTTCTGCATTTTACTTTCAAAAAAAAAACTTATTTACTCCCATTCTCACAGACTCTTTCCCGGAAAAAAACCTGTCTATCATCATTCCTGCATTCTTATAGGTAGACGTATTTTTCTTGCTCTCATTCTTATACTCTCCTTCCTGAAAAAAACGTATTTCTTTTTACTTCAGTCTTTTATGCAAAAAAAAACTTGTCTACCATCGTTCTTCTATTCTCGATATCGGAAGCAATACTTTTTGCTCTCATTGTTAAATTATTTTTCAGAAAAAAAAATTAATTATATATATTGCTCTCAGACTCTTTCCCGGAAAAAGTAGTCTATCGTCGTTCTTATATTCTCAATATTGGCAGGAATACTTTTTGCTCCCATAGTTTCATTTTCTTTTTCAGAGAAACTACTGTCACTCTCGTAAAAAGAGAAAGGGCTTGTTTCATAACTCAATAGTAAGTAGTAAGCGTGGTGCTATTGTTTTGGTCTTTCCATAGATAGATGTAAAGTTCGAAGACGAATTCAAGTACTTATCGATTAAGTAGAGCTTTCAATTAGTTGTAATAGTAAGGGTTAGCCAAACAATCTCATCTTCATATACCTTAATATTAGTATAAAGGAAATAATCTACTTTACCACATTAAGTATTTTGTAGAGTTTACAATTTAGCATAAGAGAGAGTGTGAAGGCAACAGTCCCTTGACTATATCACGTAACGTTATGATGAAAGGAATAATTTCATAAACACAATAAATAACTACAACAGGAACTTCACAGACTATGATATTAGTTTCAAATTCTAATAATTACACTAAAACTTTGTAAATCTGATCACTAGAAAAGTCGAAAAGTTAGATAATCAAATACTTCAACAGTTACAGTCTACGTTAAGTGGAATGGTAATAGAAAGGTTGAACAGGCGAATACTTCGATAAGTATGTAAAAAGTGAATAATTGAGTGGCATGTAGATGCTTTTAGCCACTATACTATTCGCACAATATTCTTTCACCTTTCTCTCGCGCACGTTTTTTTGTCATCCACTAAATCTTGAGTATGTCTGTCATCTACCAAAGATTTATTCTTTAAAACCTCTCCGATGTGATATATATCTAGCAAAATCAAGAACTAGCTTACTAGAAAATGTAACAGGACTTCACTGCACTAACTCTATCAGCTATGATCAATTTCTCTGCAACGGATAAAACAAACGAAAGTATGCAAAAAGTTGCATCGTATTCGAGACAACTTTCTTATACTATTCGATTTAGTTAAGACTAAAACTCAAGACTGTACTAAAACTAGGTTTCAATCTTACACAGGCCTCGAAAAGTTATAACAATCATTCACAGATATGTCATGAGAAGTATAGTGAAAATCTCCTCCGTATAGACTCCAAAAGGTTGCGACAATCATCCCTTAATATACTCGGAAAACTAAAAGAGCATTCAGAAGTTGTTTATTAATGCTCGTTCATTACTTCCGCGAATCATGAAGTCCACCTAGAAATCTTGAATATTTCTGCCATTCAGTTGAAAGTTCTTTTAATTAGTTTCTCATCAATTAATCAATTAATTAGTTTTAACGAAGCGGCAACTGATAGGACCAGTCCAGAAAACGAACATCTATACGATCAAAGTCAGATAGAAGCTCGTTATATGTCTTGATTCTTGAAATTATCTATATATAAAAGATAGGTAGAATATGGACTAATGGACTCCAGTTTGGCCGACGACAATTTGGGTCCCTCCCCACGACATTCTCTCTCTCCTATTGTTTACCATTTTCAATGCAAAAAAACCATATCATAACAGTATCGGTTGCCTGTAAACGGCAACTCAAGTGTTTCAGCATCATTTCTTTATTCCTTTTTTTTGATAGAAGTATATATTGCTTTGATTTTGATCTCTTTTGAGCTTTTACGTTGATCGTATTATATCATTTTAAAAAAGCATTCAATATAAGTATTCACGATGGAAGCTAACTCAACGTCTATTCAAATGACACCGGTTGAACCCTTTCATTCTAATGGAGAGAATTCCAGCGTCTTTTCATCAACAGAAACATTAGAAAATCTCGGGACGAAGGAAATAAACTTGAAAACTAATGATGAGCAACAAAATGAATTGTACATCATCAATCCTCAACCAGGCAATCGATCTCGTAAATCCGAGTTGTTTGATGAATTAATAGAGGTTGGTTCACACTTACATATTTTTTCTATACAACTGTGACTCTGATGTAAAATTGTTTATAACATAGATTATTCGGACTCCACAAATAAAAGAAACTGACTGGACAACGTTTGAAGACAAATTAGATGATTATTTCAACGATCAGCATGCTTATTCTTGTACTCAATCGACGCATACAAGCAAACGAAAATTTTTTCAACAATGCGATGAAAACTTACTTTATCCTATTCATCACGCCGTCTTGAATAATAATCAGTTTATGTTTAAAAAGCTTTTCGAGAACTTTGGCTGCGGTAAGCAAGCACGTTTTGAACGATTTTTTTCTGATACAATTCGATGTGCATCCTTTTGATCTGCTAGTTATCTAAGTGTGAAATCTAGTAATCTGGTTAGGCTGAGAGTACAGTGTTTTCTCTTTTATCTACATCCGTCCATCCTACATTTGACTATCGAATTGAAAAAATGGAAGGGATCCAACTACCTTCTACTATCAGAAAGTACTGAACATCTTGAATTACTTTTGATCACACTTTATGAGCTCGCCAAAAGCTTCTTTCATACTTACACTCACATTTACAAGAAAAGGTTTTTGTGGTAATGATGCATACATTGAATTTGCTGCCTATTATACGTAGGTATCAATATTCGTACGGTTGATTATGATACAGTACTTATTTTGGCAGCCCGAGTAGGATCTATTTGGGAGTCTTCAATAGAAAATCATGTCTCATCAAGTCAACCTAATGCATCTCCAAGTACCAATCAGACCAAAGCACGGGAACTGATCGAATATCTTTTAAAAAAAATATCCACTGGTAACGCGGAAGCAATTAATGAACATGACGATGAATATCGAACAGCTGTACGTACGCAAAAGTCTCTCGTATAGAAAATATTGTCTTACTTATTTTATAGCTTCATCATGCAATTTTGCATCGACGATGGGATTACATGAAACGACTAATTGATTTTGGAGCGGATGTTAAAGTATAGTTTTTACATATTATATGGAGGCAAGCCATATTCTTTTATCTTTTTCAGGTTAAGACTACACTTAATGCAACGGTTCTTCATTTTGTTTGTTTTTCGGCTGAAGATGATAAAGAATGCTGTGAAATGTTAAAATATTTATTTGAAAATACAAAATGCTCGGATAGTCAATTTGTTCTTCAGAAGAATACCGATAATTTAACAGCTGTTTGTATTGCCGCACAACGATCTTTCGTGCAAACAGTTGAGGAGCTTCTCAAACAGTACGAATGTTCACAAGAACTTAATTCTTGCAGTATTGAACTAGAATATGGCATTCGTTCAAACAATAAAAAGATTTTTGATACAATTTATCACAAACACGAATCGTGCTCTTTCAAGGTAAACAGGAATGAGAATCATTCATGATAAGATTGTCTTAAAAAAAACCAAGAGATCGGTCATTCTAAGAGAATTTTATCAGATTAGCCATTTAATTACATTGATCTACTGAATATGAGTAATAAAACGAAATATTTTGATTTTTCAACCATTAACTAATGAAGATCTGTAGAGAAAATATTTTTAAAGGTTTAAGAATCTGATATGCTGTTTAGCTTTGATGATCTATCTACAGATACACACATCAATAAACAATGATTAAGTACTGGAGATAGTCGTTATTAACCATGCATTTGCATTATCAGTATTTCGTGAGCAAACACTTGGGAGAGGATATTTATACAAAGTGCAAAATATTATTATCAATTTTAATATTATTATGTATGTTTGCAGGGAAAAGATACAAAGAAATATTTACTACATCTTGCTGCTAAATTCAACAATAATCGAGAAGTTTACACTGCAGTGGATGATAATGATAAAGATCAGCAACGCGATAATATTTCACATAAAATAAGTACTGAATATAATCCGAATGCCTGGAAACAATCAAATATTGAAGGTTACACCCCGTTGCACATTGCAGCCCATTATGGCAACAATGCATTTATTCAGCATATCATTAACAACGTCAAGAATTGGGAAGACTATGTCCGTCAATCAACGAAGAATAGTAGAAAAATGAATGTATTACATATTTGTGTTGAACAAAGCGGATCGACATTATCACCTCCCGAAAACGAAAAGGAAAAAAGCACGTATGTATTTGAATGCGAGTTAGTTTTATTTCAATCATTGTATTATATATAGTGCGATCGATAGGAATCGTAAATATTTGGAAATTTGTGAAACTATACTCGAACTCAAACTCGAACGCGATCCTGATTATGTTGAGAAGTTACTTCAAGCAGGTGACGTTGATAAAAATACTCCACTTCATCTTGCTGCTAGAATGAAGAACGAAGAAATTTTTGAACGTTTATTAGACCACGGCAGAAAGCTGAAATGTTCTAATCTAGAGAGTGAGAAAGAAAATTGTATGTATGGAATAATCGAACCACGGAATCGGCTCGGACAAACACCATTGTTTGAATGTGCAAAATATAATCGAAAGTCATTTATGGAAAAACTATTATTGCCAAGACAAGCTAAGCCGGGCGAATGGAAACGAACACTTGATCGATTAATAGATGAAAATCGACAGACATGCTTACACATAGCGTGTTATAACGGTAAATATAAAACTTATAGAAAATTAACTAAAAAGAGCCGTTAGAAAAATCTTATAAGGTTCAGGAACATTTAGTAAACCTGCAGGCTCATGGTATCAGATATACAAAAACATTATCTTTCTATTTGCTAAACACTTCTAACAAATTTACATACTGACATCTTTTTATAGTAGTTCCTATCACTAGTCGACAAACAGGAAAGTAATGCTTCGTTTGATCGAAAAATGAACGATTCAAAGAATCCTTAGACATTGTAGGCTATTACTACAGTTTTACTGCGACGAAATTTTGACAGAAACTTCAATTGACGTAAACACGGATTGCGCTATGTCGGGTCTCTTTTCTTCTACATCAATGTTTTTGTGTTCATATCATTAGTGAAGCTTCGTCTTTATTCTAATTTATATGTAGGTAATCTGGAGATTGTTCAATATCTTGTTACTGAGCATCAAATTTCAGTTGATGTTTATGGAGCTAATCGACAGACTCCATTGTATGGAGCTTGCGAAGGGGGCTTTGTTGACGTTGTACAGTATCTACTTGATTATACGCACGCCGATCCAACAATCAAAACAGCCAAAGGTTATAATTGTCTTGATATCGCCATCGCAAGACACCATCCTAAAATTGTCAAACGTTTATTGAAATATTCCGAATGGCGTATTTTAATGAAAAGTGTTCAATATGAAGACAATGGTGTAGCGATTACGCCTATGCGACGGTTGATCATATCTATGCCGGAAATCGCCCATGAACTTATTGATAAACATTTTACAACAATTACTGGAGATGCTGATCAACCGAAACATTTAATTAAATATGACTACACGTTTATTGATGATCATTACAATATTTGTGGTTGGCAATTTGGTAAATATCTCTTGATTGTAAAGTTATTTGTCCTCTCGTATTCCAACTGAAGGCATGAATTTTCAGCATGACTATTCTAGTATTCAAACGACAGACGAAAGAGACGATTTTGTTAGAATATCAATTGAGATTTAGTTAAGATAACTTAATTGTATTGGGTATTCTAAAACGCATTCATGCATCTTACTCTTATAAAATTTCGAAAAGTATTGATTATCTATTCTTTTCTAGATGACTATGCTGACAAGTCCGGATCAAAATCTGGAAGGTGGATTAATTCTATGTTAAATAAAGTAAATTTACCTGGGCATCCTCATCCATATTCACCAATTGCATACAAAATACTTCGTAACCATCCTTTGATGCTGATGTCACAATGTAATCAAGAAAAATTAATGTCACACCCATTGTGTGTGGCATTACGCAAAGCGAAATTTCGGCGATTTAGTGTCTGGGTGCTTACCTTATTCTTTCTTAGCTATATTATGTTTATGGCTTTGTATACTGTTGTTGTTCTTCAAATAATTCATCCACAGTATTACTATGATCTCTATAATTCATCTGGAAATACTTCAGGCCAAAACATCGAGTGGGATTATGGATTCAATAGTGACGTCTGTCGACGAGTAGGAATTTATTTGATTGAATCAGGAAATACTGATGCACGAAAGACGACAAATCAACAAAGATATATATTGACGCTCGATGTTTTATTAATTTTATTTGCGATTAAAAATGTACTTTTCATATTAGTTTCGTTCCCACGTTTTATTCGTAAAATGGCATACTATACAGAAGGGCTTGCTCTAATATTAGTATACGTGTGTATCAAAGACGGTGATTCATGGCAAAAATCCCTGAACTTTCGATGTCCAATTCAATGGGAACTGGTAAGTACTATATTTTGAATGGTTTAAAACGGTCATGGAATAGTTTTCTATGAGCAAACTCAGAAACAATGATCTTTCAAATATTTATATCATTATTATATCTATAATCAGTTGAAGCTTAGGAAAAACTGCGATTCCAGTTTCATATCTTTAAATATCTATTTGATGAGATATTTTCGTATATTTAACTTCGATATCATCTACTCTTTGTAGGGCTCAATTGGTCTTCTATTTTCTTGGCTAGTATTGCTCTCATATATGCGTTATATTCCTTGGATGGATATCGGTCTATATGTTGTTATGCTCGAAGTAATTCTTTTAAAATTTCTTCGAGCAATACCTCTTTTAATGGTACTTTTCTGTGGTTTTGGTTTCACTTATTACATGCTATTACAATATGAAACTGTTTATGCGACCCCATTTGAAGCATTGTTTCGCACAACATTGAGTCTATTCGATTCAGGATATGAAAGTCGACTTTATAATCCGCCGACTGGTGTTATGTACTATCCTGTCATTTATTTCGTTTTCATTCTTACCGAAATTATTCTAACTATTCTTATTACAAATATGTTGATTGGTAAGTTCATACTTTCAATATTTTTCTACTTCATTCAATATATTCATGCAGGTTTGGCTGTGGGAGAAATTCCAACATTGAAAATACAGGCGGCACTTCAACGGAATAAGATGTTGCACGAACTCTTCTTCGATTATGAAATTTTTCATCTTCAATTGAAAACAATAGGACGAGTTCTTTTATATTTATTGACGTGTCGCGCATGTCGTCAAGATTTGAAGTCAAGTACTCAGTCACATCGCATCGGACTGTCTTTTCGCCTATGTGAAGTTCACGTAAGCGACGGCATGACCGATGACGAATCACCAGATGCTGCAGATTGGAAAAAGAAATTTTATACATGGCTCCGAGATACTATTAATGAGGATGACATTCAATCATTGATAGTGGTAGAGAAAAAGTACAAAAAATATCATAAAGAAATACATAAGGAAGAAGATTAAAAGGACAAATAGAATGATAACTGAATTATTCATGATTTTCATGTGCACTGCTTTATTTTTTCTTGAATAAATCCAGCAACTTGTGTGAATTGTTGATTTTTTTAATGAAAAAGAGGGTGTGGATGTGGATGTGTTGAGTGTGAGTGGAGGTATCAGTGTGGGGTAGTGTGGGTTCGGATTAACTGAATAATACCAACATTCATTCACACCCTACAAATATCAATATCGTAGATTCATCTTTCGTTTGTTACGTTACCCCTTTTAAAAGTTGAATCAAATAGAAAAAGATTGAAAACTAACTGACACGAAGGGAAGAGAAATATCGAGTAATTGAGAGAGAAGAAAAATAAAATAGAAAGATCTTTTCGATTAATGATCTGAAATTGGTTTTTTCTTTTTTTGGTATTCTACTTCATGATTTACATGTCAAAATTGAGATGTAAAGTAAATAGTTTATTTATAAAACATATTATACAAGAAAAAATACGAACATTTATATCAATTTATATTTCTTCAAAAATATCATCATATTATCTGAAGATGAGACTTGTTTAAATTGATTTCTAATTTGACATTACATATAAAATGTTTTATAAGAATATCATAGAATCATTAGATTCAATCTTTTAAATATTTTACATTTCTATAATAAGACTTTAGAATAATTGAATGAAAGATTATTTTGATAAATGCTAATCTTTCAACTAGGACAAATATCATGTTAAATTTTGCTTAAATATACAAGAGAATGCATTAGTATGATTGTTTTCTCATTTTTAAAAGGTTCTCAAAAAACGAGTTGAAATAAAAATAGAAAATATGCATTATATGAAGATCTCAGGTGGAAAATTGTTTTTTCTTATTTATTAAATTAATGTAAATTCATTGAAATGATATAAATGGAAAAACATCTCAAGTGACTTGTGATATTGTCGTTCTAAAATGTAAAAAAAAATGTTTAATGAATTTCTTATTTTTTTCTCTTCGTAACTACGATGATCAACTGTTTAATATACTTATACTATGATGTGAATCATAACACTTCTATGAGAGTCAGTGAAGAATGTTATATTTAAGTTTCTTTATTGATAACATATGCTTTTAGTCATTCATGATGACAGATAATGAAACTAAATGATTTTCATAAGATCTTAGTTGATTAAGTAGTAGCCCGTTATATGGATATACACCCACATCCTCAATATGGTTTAATAATATAGATTTGCTGATGTGTAGTATTCAGAATGATATAAAATATAGAATTAAAATACTTTATTCAAGTGTAAATAAGCAAGGATTTTTTAAAATATATAATAAATACATGATTAAATAAAATATTTCAAGAAAAGACAACGTTTATATGTATGTTTTTATTCATAGGTATATAATAATTTTGAGCATATATATTAAATGAGTTGGAAACGCCAAATTCTATTTTGCATCACTTCACTTACAAATAGATCACTACCATTCATGCTTAGCCTAATATCCGCATTTCCTTGTAACGATGTTGAATCATTTCTAATTATTGCACCATTACCAATAATGGTCAGTCCATATGTTGCTCCAAAACTCCATCGTTGCACACGGTTGTTTCCAGTATCCGTAATATAAATATAATTATTTATTGTTGAAATCCATAATGAATATGGTGTATTCAACTGATTGCTTCCAGACCCTTGACCATTTCCTCCGGCAACAGTAGTTCCGTTTATTGAAACACCAACATGGTATCGTTGAATCCTATGATTGTTAGAATCAGAAACATAAAGATAGGAATTTAATTCATCAAAGTAAAGACTAATTGGTGCATTGAGCTGTTGGATGCCACTACCAGCAATACCGGTGCCACCGACAATTATGGCATTCGTGATATTAGGTGAGAATCTCATTACGCGATTGTTATATTTGTCACAAAGATAAATATTTTTTTGTGAATCTACAAATAATCCTGCTGCAAGACCAAAAGTACTTAGTGTATTTCCAGACGAACCAGTTCCTGCCACTCGAACACCAAATGACGAATTCTTTTGCCAAAACATTATTCGATAGTTAACACTATCTGTCACATAGATATTTAACGATGTATCAACATATACACCTGTAGGTCCATTTAATTGATTGGTGCTAGAACCTGCGACTCCCGTTCCAGCTACGAGTGAACCCGTTAAAGATCCTTCTTGGAATTGTAAGACTCTATTGTTGTGATATTCAGATACATAAACTGAATTATCAATTCCAATTGTAATTGCTGCTGGAAAGTTAAGTGTAGTTAAAGCATTTCCTGACGTACCATTAGCATTACCGGCAACAATCGTTCCAACTTGGATCGATGGTGCTATAAGATAAAAACATATCGATCATTCTTTTCCTAATCATATAAGTGTCATAAGTTAAAATTCATATTAATAATACTTACGACCACATTGTTGACGTGGTAAACATGTATAATTTAGATCACTTCGGCATTCTGTACTATTAACACATACATCTCCAAGTAGTTTTTGACTTTGACATATTGATCCATCAAAATATGTATGTACTTCACATTGACATGTATTATTAATACATCTCATATATCGACTTCCTTCACATAATGAACATGATTGATCAAGATTATTAAACTGTTCTGCATAATATATTTTTGAACCAACACGAGATTGAGCTGATGACGAAGCAACTATTGAACCCATAGTTATTATATTACCTTCAGAAAGACGACATAAAAGTGATTGATCATCAAAATCAAATATACGACAATTGCCATTTGAATGACATGCTTGAGCACAAGAAATAAATGATATAGTATTGATTTGAGACAAAAAAAGTGCTTGATAATTGATAGGTAAGAACTGAAAGCCAAGAGGAGATAAATTTATCGATGATTGCCAACCAAGAGAACTACTCTGACCATGCATCATCGGTGTTAGTATGCAAGAGAAAACGAAGAATACACCAAAGTATAGTTTGATTATAGTGAAATACATTCTAAAAGACAAAATAATGCAAGGTCGTTCACAATGATTTTAACATGTCAAAATCTTGTTATAAATAAAATAATAAGATTTTCATACATAAACTTCTTTTTTTTGATGATGTGTATTCACCTTATGCTTAACACAGAAACCAAGTATCAATGCAGCGAAATTTGATATTAAAATATGTTTACATACAACAAAGTAAATAATTAAAATTTTCTTATTAACAAAAATGCACTCAAGTTTATAATGAGAATGAAGAAATAATAAAATAAAAGAGTCGAGCAAAAACAAAGAAAATTAATTAGAAAAAGTGCAAAAAGCCTATTTACGTCACAACCAATCTTCTAGGAAATATAAATTTTCAATTTGATGAACATGTGATTACATCAAAAAAAACTTATTTTCCAACTGAGAAGATAAATTAATAAACAAATATCAGGTGTTTTTACATATGTGTCTTAAATAAATTTATTCTAAAATAGTCACATGTTCAGTAAAATAAAGATGTACTAGACAGTTTATTTTCCAAGTAAAGAAATCGATAAATGAATAAAATGTATGAATTTGATCAATATTCAAATGATGAACAAAAATTAATCGGGATAATAAAGAAGTAGCTGGATTATCTGAATTAAAACAATCGAGTATACTTCGTCTTGAAGTTGAAGAAGAACTTTACGATAGATTCAATAAATTTCCGTCCTATTATAATATTTGAAACAATGTTTCATAAACTTTTCGTATTATGAGTAGGTGTGGGTGTGAATTAATTCAATACAATCACCCACACCCTCAAGAATGTAACGAATTAAAAAATGATGTGAACCATATTTATCTAATAAAAAGTTAGAAAAGACTAACTGATAAGTAATCACAACACTAAATTTATTTCCAATAAAAAGAAAAATATGTCAACATATCTTTTAGAGTAACAATATTTAATAAAAGTACCATTGTTTTTGGAAAATTTTTACTGATTTGATTTCAGTAATAAGGTGGAGGAGCAGACGTATATGGCGGATTTATCTTTTGTTGATGCGGACAGACAATGACAACGGGAACTCCAGCTTGAGCCAGATCGGGATCTATACCATGGGCTAGAAGATTATCGTTAGTATATTTTTATTCATGATTTTAAATAAAATAAAACTTACCTCTCAATCTGTCTCGAACCACAATATGACGACAACAACTATAAATCACTGACAAAACAATAAGAATACCGAATATAATGGCAAAGATACTATATAAAAAGTTAAGCAAACATTTTAATGTTGATGGTATTTTTAAACTTACATCACTGGTGTCGGTATAGTGGAATCCATTTTATTTTGTTCGAGACTTTTTCAATGTTTATATTTCTTTTTTATTCTATATACAACTTGAATATACTAATTCTTTTCTTTATCTAACTTCGCAAATCTTTGTTTGTTTTTCTCGACTTTTTTTTATCATTTAAATAAACGAACACGCATGAGATCATCAAGTAAAAGAAAGATTTATAAACGCCAGGCATCATTATTTTTCCAACGACGAATCATCATGAAGTCATGTCAAAAGAAATGTGCGTAATTATGACTAAGGAGAGTCACAATGCAAGAAAAATATTCTTTATATAAATCGTGCAGGATGAGTATGCGTGATAATAACGGGTGAATAAAATGGATGCAGTTTACTTTAATTTATTTTCCTAGAAATGTCGTTTTATATAAGATTGTTAACCCTTTAACTTTTATCGACGCCTATAGACGTCAGAACAATTTTTATAAAAAAAATATGAAGAATATAATTTCTAAACTATGTTTTTTTTCTGTATATCACTTGTATTCTAAATCTATTAGAGAAAAGTCTCATTGTGAAATGCTAGATGAAAAAGAATAGTTCTAAAAAACCGAGTGACAATAAAAGAGTGTAAAGAAGAGAATTCATATGCATCTACACTCTTGACAAGTGACGTATGTGGGAGAAAAGAAAAAAGATCATATACTATATGACGTAATTCAGAAAATATCTGTGCATGACGAATTACGCACATGAAATAAATCTCACTAATAAAAACTTTTGAAAACATTCACAGAAAGATGTGCCTTGCTCTTTCCTATTAAAGAGTAATATCTTTTTTCTATATAAGAATAAAATATATATGTATATATATATAAACAGAAGGTTCATCAGTCTTAGATAACTGACTTTGTAAAAGTTACTGAATAAAAAGATGTTTAGTTAGACAGTTGTAACATTGTTTAATATATTTTTATGCTAAAAAAATTAATTTCGAGCTCAATACATTTACACAAAGTTATTTTATGATAAATCCATTTTTTCGTGTGTTATCTATACACAAAACTTGTTCGTGATAATGGTATATAATCTCACCGAGACTTCGAAACTTATTCATCTAAATAAATAAATAAATAAAGATTTAATATTTTTTATTTTATTTATAAAATGCTAGTACAAACCGCTATCACTTTTCAGTTTTTATTTCGAATTTTGCCCTTAAAATCTTCAAATGTTTATCATTAAAGAAATTTTATTTACACATCAAATGAATGACAAAGCTTTAAATAATGTGAAATTCAAACTTAACATTTTCTCACAACGTTTGTCTTCGGGCATTTTTAGGACCCATAATAAGTTCTATGAACAACATAAATAATTAGAATTATTCATACTGTTTCATGTCGTTGTTCTTTTTTTTCCTTTAACAGCTGTTTATTATATACATGGTGTTTCTCCTCTTTTCCTACGTTCCTGAGGATGATAAGAGTTCTTATCGAAAGCTCGAATAAAGGTTGTTTTTTTTTTTGTTTAAAAATGTATATTGTTCTTTGTAGCAGTTTTATGCTCAATCATTTATAAATTATATATGTTTTAATGATATTCATATGCGGCAGTTATATTCAATAATCTGATTCTCAACAACTTCCGGATAAATTATCACAAGAGAATCTTAACAGCTCAAATCGATGAATCCTGAAGCAGTATCTTATGAATTTTCGGCGAAAAACCTCAGGAAACTCACCGTTTTTGATAGGAAACCTGCCGAAAAATGTCAAGAACTTGACCCTGGAATCGGTTCCAGTGACCGGATCCATTCAACAGGAATAGTGCTTCCATAGGATCTCCGGAATACCATGGAACCAACCGTTTCCGTGCCGGATTGTTCGACCTGGTATAAAAAAAACGAGAAATGTATACAATATTCTTGCATTCTTGAATATTATAATGGTGTTTGTGATTTTCGGTGGACCTTTGTTGATCAGCATCACCTATACAGTTAGTTCTTTATCTATGTTTTTGGCTAATTCAGTTATGATTTTTCTTGAAGGTGTTCATAGTCATGATTATGACGATGAATAACTCTGATCGTCATAAACGACAATAAACAATTTTTGAGAATACAAAATGACTGTTTTTTTCTTAAAAAATAAAAACATTGAAAATTTATACTTCATTTTATTTAGTTTTAGATAAAATTCGACTTGCTCAATGTCATCTTACTAGGATATGGGTGTGGGTATAAATTAACTAAATAATACCAACATTCATCGACACCCACATCCACACCCAAGATTTAGAACATTTAAAGTAGCTCCAACTTGTTAACCTGATAAAGGCACAATAAAATATATATTAAAAGAAAGGATAATATTCGTTGAGATGAAGAGTGGCCAGTTAGTGGAATTTTCCATTTAGTAAGTTTCAATTTTATTTACTCTTACTGTGACAAAATAAAAACAAGAAAGATTTCTTGTAGTTATTGACGTTTCTTTTTTTAATTGTAGACACTACCGGCAGAATATATATGAGAAAATGTAAAAATTCAAAATATCTGCTGATTACATTAATGACTATGTTTATTATATATGTGTTAATGATCTTCATATCCCAGTTCGATGATTCCAGAAGCAGTATTCCATGAATTACCAGCGAAAACCGTCAGGAAACACACTGTTTTCGGCAAGAAACCTGCCGGAAAATGCCAAGAATTCGTCCATAGAATCGGTTCAGGATGAAACCAAATGGATCCAGGCATCGAATCCGTTCAACGGGAATACCATGGAACCGGCCGTTTCCATGCCGGATTGCTCGACCTGGATTTATTGATCAGCATCACCTCATTTATTAACTCTTTCTTTATATGTGTATCCATGTTTTTGCCTAATTCAGTTATGATTTTTTTCGAAGGATTTATTGTTGTTACATCTGCAGTGATATTCTTGAAGATGTTCATAGTCTTAGTTATGGTGATCATTAACTGTGATCGCCGTAAACGACAATGAACAACTTAAGATTATAAAATGACTGTTTTTTACTTTTAGATAAAATTCTTCTTACTTAATGTCATCTTACTCTGAAGCAACACCAAGAGATACACAGAGTATAATTAATTTTGGTAAATAATAGATAATTATTTTCAATTGAAATAATGAATTCTTGGTTCTTATTCTAGAAAGTACATTAAAAAGAAAATGGTTTAGTCAAATGGTATGTAATTTTTCAGGAGTGAAGAAGTTCTGTTAATTGCTTATTTATTTGTAGCAACTACAACCTCTCGATTTTTTGATGAACTATAATTATGGCATGATATTATTCATTGGTTTTATCTTAATTATTTTTTATTGTGGAATATTTTTGAATGTTTATTTTATGATGATAGATATTCATTCTAAACATGAATATTTTCGTGAACAATTACAAATTGAAACTGAACAAATGAATCGATTGAAAAATGATTTTTTACGCCTAAAACATTATTATAGAGATGATGTTAACAAAGATGATATAACTTGTCAAAAATGTATATTACCTGTCTTTGATATAGATTCTGATTATATTATCAATCATCTTCTGAAAAATAATCTACCTATTAAAAAATTATATAATGATACTTTATTACCATTACAACATCTTTTAATTTTTATTTGTTTGTTGAATACAATATGTATGACGATGATCTTCGAAAAGCCAATTAAACTTTTTCTTATATCACGTATATTTAGAATAATATGTTCATTTATTTGTGGAGAATTTTTTATTGAAGATAAACCAAATGTTTATTATACATTAATAGCTGCTATTGGTGTATTTTTATTTTCTGTTTTTTTATTAATCAAAATATTTCTAACACTATTAAATATCATCTATTATCATACAATGAAAAACATTTTAAGAAGCGAATAATAACGTTCCATCTGATAAACGATGTTCATGAGAAAAAAGTAAAAATTAATAATTGTATAAAAAAATCTCTGATTTGATTTTTCTGCCTATTATCCTGTGTATTCGAATATTTAACCCTTAAACAGAGATAAAATAAAATAAAATATCTTTTGAATATTTTTATGTAAATATCTTTACTTGTTTGCTTTTTTTGTTTTGCAATAAATATATACAATAATATTTATTTCCTGTTTTGCAGACTAACACATTTACATTTAATCTTTATTGAAAGCTCTTATTTTTAATTCATATCGAGATTATTAATGTGTATTCTTAGATAGTAAGGAACAATTTAAGAGTTTTTGAGCATTACAAATAAAGACAGGTTTAAGAAAAAAAGTGATCACAATCAGAGAACGTCGCACGACGTATCCTACAACTTAGTTATTTTCTTTGTACTAGTCCTGTATTATACAGGAGTAGGACAACCTTTTTTGAAGCAGTCTTAAGAACGGCATCAAAAACTTTTTTTTATCGAAGTAATATAAAATGATCTTATTAAAATTGAATGAAATATTCCACAAACAGTTCACAAATAATCTTGTAATATTCTAACAATAAGTGTTATTTATGGTAGACAAGTGCTAACTAACTTTTTTGCAAGTCTTCGTAGATTCTTTTTCTTGTTTCATTGTGAATAATTATTATAAAATCTTTTTCTGTCATAAAACTTCTTATGGAATTTCTTATTGTCTCATTGAAATAAATTATCAATTAAGTTTCTAGTGCTTTCTAAATCGTTTCTTTCAATTTTAAGTTTGTTCTAAAAAAGTTTATGGAAATGATATTGCTAAAAATCTGCCTAGTTTTTGTTTAGAGTGTGGGTGTAAGTATATGACAATCTAAATACTCACATCCACCCACACTCACATCCTCAAGGTGTTTTATCCTTTTATTTATTTAATATTCTATTTTGACGTATATGACAAAGTGAAAAAAGAATAAGTGTGACAATTTAATTTTATTATGTCAATTAAAATTAAGCTAATTGAAGACGAATTTGATCATCTGCATTATAAAGACCAACATAAAGTATCCATGGAAGTGGACATTTTATAATAGAAACATTAATTTCATGTACCAAAGATACTGATTCATTTTTTAAACGTATTTTATGTCGATCATAATCAATAAATAATTCAACTGTATGATTTATATCCATTTCACATTTAAAACCATCATATTGATGATGGTGACCTGCCCAACCATATACAGTTGAAGCTTTATATAAACTTGATTTTAAAGATGCATGTTTTGATATAATACCAAAAAACACCCATTCAGGTATACCTAATTTTTTAATTTGAAAACGAAATTTATGCATTCCGGAATAATATTCTTTTTTCTCCACAAACTGCTGCATCATCATTCGTTGAACCATGTGTAATAGAATAATTCATATTATTTGTTTGAGTATCATCAACAGCTGGATGAAATGTATCGATAGATGTATGAGAAAGTTTGATTTTATCTATAAATGAATTTTTCTAATCAAGATTTTATATCATTCTCCATAGTATTCGTTTCTATACGAGCTTTCTTTAATTGTTGACTAATTTGTTGAAATATTTTATTCATTTCGATAATATATTTCATAAAAGCATTTTTAAATTGCTGTCGAATTTCTTTTGTTGTTTGTTGAATTTTTAAAATTTCTTTACACAATGCTGAACAAGACAATTTTTCTAATATAACTGAAGTCATGAAAATGTGTTAGAGGTTTTACTTTCCTTCTATTCTTGTAGAAAAAAAAGACAAAAATCGGATTCTATCGTCTTTTTTTTTCTTTTTGAAACATTATATGACAATAGAAAAGTATTAAACTTGAAAGAAGTAAAAGGGATATATGTTTTTTTAGTGCATAAGATTTTATAATTGTATTTTAACACGACATTGGAAGTATTTCTGAAAGTGCATTAATATAGTATGTACCATTTTCACTATTTTCATTCCAAGCATAAACAATGACTGTTTGAGTTTCAGTAATATTCTTATTTATGCAAGTCAACTGTATTGAACTTTGAAAAAAGTTTTGTAATTCTTTTGCAGTTGGTTGTAAGAAATGTTCTGGACCTTGATCAACCCATGGTACAGAATGTTCAGATCGTGGACGTGGATCCCAACCAGTTGGAAGTGGTATGACAACTTTTCCACCACTTTGAATAGCAAAATTCCACCATCTAATGAACGAAATGGAGAACTCTATGAGCAAATATTGTTATTATTCTTGAATATATTTAAAAGAAAACATTTACTTCTACAGTTCCACCACCTCCAATTCCATACGATGATAGTGCATCAAACCCAATGGCATCAACACGAGTTTTACATCTTGCTATATCACCATCCATTAAAACCATGTATGGATTCTGTAAACCTAAAATAATATATATATGTATTTTTTTTTCTTTTGAATTATTGAAACAAAACGTACCTCGATTAATAACTTTTTGACAAAAATTGTTAAATACTCGTCTACTACCTTCCCATCCACCACCACAAAGTTAATAGAATGAAATATATTTGTACAATTTGGTCCAAATGCACAATAAGTATCAAAAGCCCAATAATCAAAACCAGCATATCTTGCATATCACTATTTATAGTAACATTTGTATCTGAATTAACTTTAGCAAAAAATGGTAAACGATAATGAAAATGTTCTGGACTCATCGCTCGATGTGAATAATATGATATTGCATCATATTGTCCATTAATTAAATTTCAAGCATCCCAACGATCTATATTGTTATCTCATATTTGACAAGAGGTTTATACTTATATTGATAAATGACAGAAGACTTTTCATAGGTAATAAGTAATTATGATGCTATGATTAATCTCGTTTTAATACAACAATTAAACTTTTAAAATTACCAAATTACAATACGTATGTTTTTAAGCGTCTTATTTTATTGATTCGTTGTACAGGACGAATCGATAATTCCCGTTTCTAAACCCTATCCTTTCAGTCTAGGGAATTTATTTAAAAGAAAGAGAAGAATGACTATGTATGTGTTTAATATTTTTTATTATCATGTGGTTTTATTATATAAAAAAAGAGAATGGCTAAAATAACAAAAGCTATATTTTTCCAGTATTTTGAAATATGATCTGTAAGCAATTGTTTTCGACGACATTCTATTAAATGTTCTTGAAGATTTTCTCGACAACCTTTCCATCCACAATTATCGATACAATTAACTATTTGTCTTGGACATGTACAAGATATATGATCATTAAAATTACTTCGTTGAATATTCATTTGTTGACATAATGTACATTGAACTAATAAACGATTTAATTGATTTAATACAACTCGACTAATGACAGGTAAAAATTGATTGCCTATTTGTCGACATGATGGACAAGATAATTGTTGTTGCATCCATTGCATAATACATTCTTGACAATACGTATTTCCACATGATTTACAATTCATTGGTGATTGAAATGGTTCATTACATATACTACATTTAAGTTCAATATCAATTTCATCTTCATTTGTATATATATAAGTCATATATTATGATAATAAAAAAATATACGTCGTAGTACTTTATGCTATTTGAAACGTGATTTCTATTTGTCTTCTAACGATGTGTGAGGTGATAAGCAGAACGAAAGAAAAAAAACACACACACAATTTTCTCTCTTGTGTACTACTGTCTACCTTTCTGTACTATTCGAATAAACACGTGGTTTCATATTATTCTGTTTTTTTAACGAAAGAAGTTAATTTTGTAAAGTATGAAATATATGTCTAATTTATTAAATAGAAAATGATAACTGTAAGATTTTTGGAATCATTGAATTTAAACTAAAAGATAAAGTGAACAATTCTATATTTTCCTCTTTGCTTTATCTATTATACTGAATTTCTTTTTTTTTCTTCCATTCTTTTAACTAAACACGTTCGTTCCATACACATAAATATTCATCGTCCATATAACATATAGACATGGGTAGTATCTTATCTACATCAGCTGATAATTTTCTAACATCAAGTTTAATATCATCTCAGCTTATACATCGTCATACATTATCTACATGTTATGATGCCATATTTGATGTATCTTTATCTTCAAAAATAAATTCAATACTTATAAGTGATGATGGTAGACTTCGATTATTTAATATTGATTCGAACAATGATGGACAATTAATTGAAATAACAGGAGAATCAACCAAAACATTAACTCATGAACAAATACATGATATTATATGGAGTACACAACTTGATCGATTTCTTGTTTTGACATCAAAACGTTTATCAACGTATGATAAAGAAAATAATTTAGTTAATCTTGATCTAAAACTTGAAAAGGGTAAATCTTTTTTTTTAAATTTATTCTTTCGAACTATTTGTGATTTCTTACTTAGGTAGTCCTCCATTTTGGCGTATGGCTTGTTGGTCATCTCATCTTGTTTTAAATCTTGGTTTAGGTACATCTATACGTTATTATAATTTACTTTCATCATCATCAATTTCTTTAATAAATTCTTACACACGTTCATCTCTTGGTTATACAAATTCAGATTTACTTTCATTACTTTCACTTAGTCCACAATTAATACTTGGTATTAATGTTGAATTAACTGATAATCGTCATGTTATTGATCTATTTTCTATATCTGATACAACAAAATTTCATCGTCTTAAACGTATTAATTCAAATGAACCATGTCCACTTGATATTATAACATCCTTACGTAATTATACCTGGTTATGTAAATCTCATTGGCCATCCGATGATTGCCTATGTATAGTTGAATCTGATGGTCAAGTTAATAAATTAAATTTACAAGAACAAAATGGTTATATTCTTAATTTAAGATTATTAGCTGATCGATCATATTTTGTTATTATACGTACACCAAGTAAATTACCAAAAGAAATCGATATTATGGAATTGAATAAAATCGATCAAGATAAAAAAGAACGACGAGGACGACAAACAATAGGCAAATTACCTGGAAATCTTCTATTAGAAGTTTATAAAATCCCAAATACAATAAAATAAAAAAAAAGAACGATATTTTTTTGTTTGTATGTAAATGATTCAGATAGAAATAAAAGGATTACAATTTATGAAAAACTTAAAAACAACTAATAAATTAAAATCATATGTAATTACTTGAATAAATAAATACGATTATTTATTCTTTATTGTCAATAAATCGAACGTTCGGTTGCCATGGAAATGGGCATTTTCTAATATCAACACCGAGAACATGTGTTCGAGCTGTTCTTTCATTTGTTAAACTAATAGATTCTCTATCACAATCGATATTTAACATAAATATATCATCAGCTTGAATATCAGTTCTATATCCATTATAATTCGCTTTTATGTCATCACCTAAATAAACAAGATTCTTCTCTGACCATCCATAGAATGTTCGATTTATATATGTATCTATATCTTCAGAAACAGTTTTTGATATAATACCAAGTATTACTGAAGTATTCGGTCCATATTCTTTAATTTTAAATCGAAATGAATGTACACCCGATGAATAGTCACTATTGACTGTTTTATATGGATCATCATTTCGTTCTATTATAAATCTTTGATATTTACTCTGATATGCACTTCTAGGAAATGATTCAGTAGGATTATCATTTGACATATCATCAAGAGAAATTTTTGATATAAATGCAGGTGAACTTCTATCTTCATGAAGTTGAATTTTTTGTTGTTCGATAAAAGTTCGTTTTAATTTTTGAAGTTTTTCGGTCCATTCACTTATATCATTTTCAAAATAGTTTCCATATTCACGTGCTTCACTTAATTGTTTTGTTAGGAGTGCAAGTTTCTCTTTAACATTATCGGTACGTTGTCGAACAGTAGTTAAAACTTGTTGTCGAGTATCATTAGCTACTTGACGAATTTTATTAATAGATTGTTGTTCCCATCGTTCAATCTGTTGTAGGAATATATCACAATTGTGTTCTGTTGTTTGTCCTACCATATCTTGTTTTAATTGATTATGTGAAAGAAAAACTTGATTCATTTGTTTTTCAAGTAATTCTCGATGGTCATTTGTATGACGCATACAAAAATTTTGTGAGCAACCACGACATATAAATATACCTGCTGTTTGACCACATGTCGCACAAGAAGTATTTTTTGATTGTACAAAAGGCATTTAACACGTTTTGTAGGAGATAGTCAAGGTATAGTAAATAAAGACAAAAGAAAATGAAAGAGAGTAAGCACAAGGTAAATGATATTTATCTTGTAATATATATGATATCAATCTGGAAGAATAAAATATTGTAAAGGTGTCTGTTTGATGCATGATATTATAAGATCTTTTTTTTATCGTAAGATGATGAAATAAAAAGGATATTACCATGTGACTCATATCAAATGCTGGAAATTTTCATATTTCCAGTGGAACTATACTTTTGAGTCTCTAGAGTACCGACTACAAATAACAAAAATGATGTATTTTAACAATAAAATTTCATAAAAAGAAACCACCTGCAGATAAGATAACAAGAATATCTACGTGTCTGGTTAATATTGAAGATAAACGAAAAGAGAAAACTGTAATGCATGTTTATACTCTTTTTGTAAATAACAATTATTAAAATCTTAAGTTTTTTTTTATTAACTGAATAAATATTTTTCGAAAAAAAAAACAATTACAAATAAAATCACATAGTGTATATTAAACTTATTATTGTAGTTCATTATAAAGTGTGGATGATGATGATGATGTTAATAATGTGATTTTTCTTCGGAATTTGAACGTAACCAAAGACGAACATGTTGTTGCCATGGAAATGGACATTTATGAAGATCAATAGTTAATTCATACGATTGACTGGTGTGTTCATTTTTTAAAGTAATTTTTTTTTCATCACAATCAATAGTTAATTCATATTGACCACCAGTTTGATAATCACTACGATATTTATTATAATTTAGTTTTTCTTTACCACCAAGATAAACAAGATCGTTTGATCCCCAACCATAAAATGATGAATTTCTATATGGATCTTCATCGCTCGATGTAAGTTCGGATATAATTCCAAATAGAATTGAACTATTTATTTCATAACGTTCAATTACATATTGAAATTTATGTTGACCTGATGAATATGATGTTTGTATTTGTGCAGGTAAAAGATCATCAAAATGACTATGATTGATTTGTTTATATTGATCATAATCATAATGTTGTTGTAGTTGTTGTTGTAATTGTTGTTGTTGTTGTTGTTGTTGATGTTGATGTTGAAAAGTTCTAGAATGATATTCATTTTGAAATGAACTATTTGATGTTGCATTGAGTGAAAATCTTGATATAAATGGAGTTGAATGAGAAGCTTCATTAATATTAATTGTTTGTTGACCAGCAAATGTACGTCGTATTTCATTAAGTTTCTCCGTCCATTCTTTTAAATCATTTTCATAAAAACCACCAGTTTGTCGAGCTTTATCTAATTCTTGTTTTAATTGTTCTAATTTTTCTTTTAAATTATCTGAACGGTGTCGAACAGTAATTGTTAATTCTTGTCGAGTCTCTTGAGCATATTGACGAATTTTTTCAATGGATTCTTGTTCCCATTGATTAACTTGTACCATTAAAGAATGTTGATATTGTTCTGTTGTTTGTCCTTTTATATTTTGTTTGACTGAATCATAATTATGATAAATAACATTCATAGATTTTAGAAGATGTTCTCGATGTTCACTAGCATGTAGTTGACAAAAATTTTTTTCACATCCATGACATAAAAAAACTCCAGCCAATTTAATACAAACTGAACAATTATTTTTTGTTCGTTTTAAAGAAGCCATAATATGTTTATCCATTGTTAGTGTTAATGATAAATGTAAGTAAAAAAAAACTCAAGGTGAAATGATAGTTATCTTATTGTACGATATCAGTTTTTTTTCTCTAGTCGAAATATCTTGTTGAGGTTCTTTTATCTTATTGTGTTGAAAATATATTTTAGTTGTTTGCTGATAACTTTATTCGTACGTCATGCGGTTATTTATTCTTGACTAATAGAAACACACAACGTAAAATCTACAAAATAAAAAATTTGTTTTTCTCTCAGAAATATACTAATTTTGCTATTGGATACTGATTTGACTGCATATTCAAATAATGTAGCACAATGTCCGACCGCTATTCAATTATAGTCAATGTTCATTGTTTTCTCTCAATAAATATAATACACATTTATAATTTTCTATCATTTTCAATGTCTTATAAGCGTCTTTTTCTTTATTATGTTATTTTTCTATCATTAATCTTCTCATCTGTGAGAGCAATAGAACCTGTTTGTAAATGGTATGGAATAGCACCATTTTGTTTTATTGGTAATTCATGTCCAGAAAATTGTTGGCAAGCAGCAGCAAGTGATCGTGGTGATGGTGCATACTGTTGGTTTAGTCAAAAAAATTATTGTTGTTGTGTAAAAAAAGCAATTGATTCAATTATTAATTCATTAGTTAATTCTAACTGATAAAACTATTTGTCTCTGTTTGTAAATAAATAAACTTATGTAAATCAGAAATAACGATATTATGACTTATTTTTAGTCGCTTATAGATTTAATACTGTTTTTTTTCTGAGCAAAAGACGATATATTAAGCAATCTACCATCTTGAGAGTGTGGGTATGAGTATAGGTGTAGGTGTATTAATTCGTTCTATCCCATACCCACCCCTCAAGATTTCTTTTTTAAACTAAAAAGATGAAGCAGAACTAATTATAATAACTGGTGTTGTTGCACGATTTAAACTGTAAAAAACATTTAATATCAATACTGTCTCTACTATATTCACAATATAATATTTCTGTTTAACGGATAATGTTACGAAAAGAATTATTGAGAAGGATTCGAAAAAGATATTGAAACAATATATAGTATATTTAAAGATTTGTTTATAGAAAATAGATCAACAGTAAATGCCCAAACAATACATGAAAGAAAATGAAAATATCTTCGATCGTAAAATCTATTAGAGAGAATAATATCTAAACTTGTACATTTGACCGAATTCAAAGGGTGTAGGTGTGAGTGAGGATGATAGAGAAGAAGAGACACCCATACCCTCAAGATTCTATGACAAAAGCTTTATTTGTGACTATATTAATTCAATGATAATATTTCTTTTATTCTAAATTTTAATTGTTCAATATTTTAAAATTTCTGAATAATGTAGAATCCATTATTAGTAGTTATAATATAGAGTCATAGATATAAGATAACATCCCATAATTATTGTTCCAAGTAATGTAAAAGATACTGCTATTTCTTGACCATTATTTGTCGTAGATGTCATTAAGCTGCGCTTTGTTGTTGTTATTTTTGTAGTCGATTTTGTTGTAATACGTAAGGTTGATGAAGTCGGTACTAAGAATAAAATTATATGTTCATTATTAATCAAATAATGTAAGATCGAAATAATCTTTCTCTTTTGTAAATTACCTGTCGCAATCGATTGACCTGTAGTTATTGTCTGATCTAAGAGAATTTCAAAAGAAAATCTTTTTCTAATAATAAAATAATTATATTCTTACTTGCATTATACAGAAATTGAAATTTCTGAACTCTGTTATTATAATAATCACTAGTATATAACGACCCAGTACTATCAAATGCAATGCTAGCCGGAGAGTATAACTGATTCATTTGAGTTCCAGTTGTACCAGTACAAGCTGCTATGCAAGTGCCAGAGTCAGAACCAAGTTTCCATCGAAGAATTCGATTATTTCCTGAATCAGCAATATACATATATCCATTTGTATCTACAACAACTGCACCGGGTTTAAAGAGTTGTTTTAAACTACTACCAGATGTTCCATTTCCAGCAACCGTTATCCCATATAATGATTGATATTTCCACATCTGAATTCGATGATTATTAAAATCAGCAATATATAAACTAAGATTATCGTCAACAAATATCCCATCAGGTGAATTCAGTTGATATGATAACGATCCAACAACTCCATTACCAGCAACCGTTATTGCAACTGATGAGTTTGGTGCAAATCGTACTACCATATCATCATCATATGCACTTATGTAAAATTTATCATATTTGTCTTTAAACATATAAAATCCATGACCAAAGGATCCTGTTAATATATTTGATGGATTTGTACCAGTTGTTGACCATTTTTGTATTCGTATATTCCATGCATCATATACGTATAATGATTCATCAACAACAATAACATCATAAGGATGATCAAACTGATAGATTGCAGTACCTGGACCTGATCCAATGATATTAATAACTTGTAAACTAGTTAAATTAACTACTACTATTCGATAATTATTCCATTCAGCTATATATAAAATATCACTACTTGAAATACTTATACCACGAGGAGAATTGAGAGTATTATTTGTTTTTCCAGCTGTGCCATTCGATAATCCTGCTACTGTTGTTGCATTTTCAGCCCAAACTGCAGTGAATGATACATTGACATATACTACAATTAAATGAAATCTTTTTTAAAATCAATATAGATAGTTCAAAGTTCTTACATATTGTCGAATTAATAAATCCAATAGCATTAATAACAACTATGATAACCAATAATTGATACGTCATTGTGATCTATCTATTTGAAGAAAACAGTTTTGAAGAAAAATATGAAAAGAAACTATTAGTAATTATACATGAAAACATCTCTCATTTTAATTTTGGTAGAAAGAGAATTAATTTCCTGACAATATAGAATACTTATAGGATATTGCTTTCATCATAAAAAATTGTTGAAAGTTAAAGAGAGTAAAATGAGTGGAGAATATCATGAATATCTTCAGAATGAAAATTAGATTTGTTTTTTTTTGTTTATGTATAGTCACACAGTTTATATTCATTAAGTATTTTTCTTCAAGAAGAAAACGATTTGAATATCTTTAAATTATAGAAGTATTATGAAATGTAAAGATTAGCGATTCTCAAAATATTTCGTCAAATTAATTTAAATGATAACTATAAGGATTTTGAGACATACAGTGAATCATATTATATAGCGACAATAATTAATAATTTTTTTCTTTTACTCTATACTCCATATATGTCGAAATTAGAATATTATTGAGTCTAATATTTTTTTTCTCTATTTCTCTCTTTCAGTATATTGATAAAATCGTTTAATAAGTAAAATAACGTAAATGAAATGTAGGATGATTCATTTTTATCCAGTCAAAAGAAATATAATAATGTAGAATTTTCAGTTGTACGAAACCTATTTGTATCAATCAACTTTAGTACGATAATGATAATTATAACCATAGAGATGAACATTTCTTTTGATCTAATAAAAATAAATCATCCTACACTTCATTTGTATTATTTTATTTATATAAACTTCATACTTTCTCAAGTCAAATTCATTCTTCTTAAAAATATCCATTTTTACGAATAAAAGGAAGTTTGCCCTAGAATTTGATTTCTAACTAACATGGTGCCCATAATCTGTTTGTCACTAGACATAATAAACAATGACATCCTCGCTGAACATCTTTGTTCTGCTGGTGAATAACAATTGACTAATATTTTATTTGTAATTTGTAAAGCCTTTTAACTAATACAACAAAAAGACAAAATTTCATTTGAAAGCTTCCAGTCTATCAACTGCTTAACCTGTTCATTTGCACATCAGTTTCTGATAGAACACATGATTAATCTCTGCAAAGAAAAAAAAATTATGTTTGAATAATTGATATTTGTGGAACAACTCTGTTTCTCCATTTTCGAAAGCAATATACAATGATTTTAACTAATATTGGGACGAGAATTTTTGAAACTCTTGTCAATCCACCAATTATACCAATTAATGTTGTGATAACATAAAGTATATTATTTTTTGTATTAATAGTATAAGTGCATTCTATAGGTTGACATTCATCATAATATCGATCATATATTTGTGTTGAATTCCATTCTTCAATCATTAAATTATTAAGAAGATCTTCAATTGTTGAATCTTCAGAATATTGACTTGGTAAAGATGAATCAAGAGCTGTCACATTCTTCGGAACAGGTGGTGACAAATAATATTGTAATTGATCTATACAGGTTTGATTATAAAAGCACTCGAGAGTAGATCGAAGCAATGCTTCAGTCGTATAACATCCTACATAGAAACCTGTTACATTGAAAATTCTGTAATTATAAAGACCATTAAAAAGAGAAGAATTATCGATACATGTGTTGGATAAAGCACAGATGCAGTTGTCGTAAACTCGACTAGTTGTACGTAAAATAGAACTTTCGTTTACTTTGTGTGGTTGGTAATTTGTTTGCCTTCCAGAAAGTAAAACATTCCCTTGAATGGTCTTTCTAGTCATATTGAGAGATAATAAAAAATTATTTATTGTTGATAATTTAAACTGATCAATGAATGACTGAGTTTGTGACTGAAATAATTGTAATGATGTAACAGAGGCAGTAATATATTGAGTTGAATTAAACTGAATCAAACTGTAAGACATCGTACTGTTAATTAGTTCACAAAATGCACGTAATGCTTCAAACTGATACGGACCTGTTATTCGAAAGTCGCCGGTAACATAATAACCTACACGACCTATATTAATATATGAAATCCAATCGTCGGTAATAAAAAAACTGGTGCATACTTGATGAAATGTATATTCAATAGAAAGAAATTTTTCATAGTTGGTTGATATATTTTTACATGGGCATGTAAGAGTTTGTGAATATATAGAATATAATTGTTCATATTTTGTGAGAGTAGGTGCTGCGATATTAACAGTCATTGTAACATTTTCTAATGAAGTGTATAAAAGAAGAATCATTGATGATAGGATAAGTAATAAAATATATAATCTTGTTGATATTCGTTGAGTTCGAAGTTTATGCTCATCAGTTGAAGGTGGTACAGATGGAAATAAATTAAAATTGAACAAGAAAATTATGCATTTTCGCCACAATATCATAGCCCGTTCCTTTTTAGCCATCGCTTAAAAATACAAATAAAATTGTTTGATATTTTTACCTCGATAAAATAATATTTTTCTGATTACTCATAATTTTCGGAGAGTGTGGGTGTGGGTGAGAGTATCTACTCTATTGTTACATCCTCACCCACACCGCACTCTGAAGGTGCTTTGTTCGACTATGACTTACCGATGCGTGGTTGTGTTAAGTCTTTCTTCTTTCTCACAAACTTGACTACTTGTGGTACAACGCATCTTAGAACTGTTATGAGACCACCAATAATACCAAAAATAGTGGTAATAATGTAAATTACGCTATTTCTTGTTTCAATAGTATAAGTACATTCTATAGGTTGACATTCATTATAGTATTGATCGTATAATTGTGTTGAATTCCATTCTTCAATCATTAAATTATTAAGAAGATATTCAATTGTTGAGTTTTCAGAATATTGACTTGGTAATAATGAGTCAAGAGCTGTCACATCCATCAGGACAGGTGGTGACAAATAAATTTGTAAATTATCTATACAGGTTTGATCATAAAAGCACTGAAGAGTAGATTGTAGTAATGCTTCAATCACATAACATCCTGTATAAAAACCTGGTACATCAAAACTATCCTTGTTAGACAGACTATTCAAAAAGGAAGACTGTGCGATACATGTACTTGATGAAATACAACCACACTTAGAGTAATCTACTGGAGCGCCGAGAACAATAGGTTCATTAGATACGGATGTACCTACAGTTATTTTGTAATTTGTCAATAAGCCCGACAGTAAACCATCTCCGTGAGTTGAGTTTCGGATGGTATTAAGAGATAACACAAAAGTATTTGTTGTTGATGATATAAACTGTTTAACGAATGATCGAGCTTGTAACTGAAATAATTCTGATGATGCGACAGATGCAGTAATATATTGGCTTGAATTAAATTGAATCAGACTATTATTAATTGTACTTTCAACTAATTCACAAAATGCACCTAAAGCTTGAAATGCATTTGGACTTGTCCACTGGAAGTTAATATTAGCGAATGTAGCTTCATATGACATCCCAATATATGAAATCCAATCGTCGGTAATAAAAAAACTATTACACACTTGATGAAATGTATATTCAATAGAAAGAAATTTTTCATAATTGATTGATATTTGTTTACATGGACATATTAGAGTTTGTGAATACTTAGAATATAATTGTTCATATTTTGTAAGAGTAGGTTTAGGAACATTGATAGTTTTTGTAATGTTGGCTAATGATGTATATAAGAGAAGAATTGTTAATGATAAGATGAGCAATACAATAAATATTCTTGTTGATATTAGTTGATTTTTAAGTTCATGTTCATCAGTTGAAGGTGGTACAGATTTAAACACATTGAATGTTAAACAATAGTTTTTAAGTGTTGGAAACAAACGGCAAACATAGGTATGCAGTACAAGTCCTGTAAGAAAAGATATATAAATGAACATAATACTCATACCTACACTCGAAAAGTGCACGAAAATAAATATTGTGACAAAAATAGCAAATAGTCGACTAGAAAATCTTCTCTTCTAATTTCACAGAACATTTTTTGACTTTGACAAGAACTATACAACTTGTCATTCTGTTCAATTAATATTCTAACCATTGAAAATAAATATTTCATGTGTTAAACATCGCAGAAAATTTTCAACTTTTTCTTACCAAAAGGTGATCGTGGTAATTGACTTCTCTTCTTTCTCACGAGATTGACAACTCGTGGTACAACGCATCTTAGAACTGTCATGAGACCACCAACAATACCAAACATTGTAGTAATTATGTAAATTACGCTATTCCTTGTCTCAACAGTATAAGTGCATTGTATAGGTTGACATTCATTATAGTATCGATCATATAGTTGCGTTGAATTCCAATCTTCAATCATTAAACTTTGAAGGAGATGTTCGATGGTGGAATTTTCAGAATATTGACTTGATAAAGATGGATCAAGAGCTGTTGCATTCATTGGCGAAGCAGTTGTTAAGTAAAGTTGTAGTTCATCTATACAGTTTTGATCATAAAAGCACTGAAGAGTAGATTGTAGTAATGCTTCAATTACATAGCATCCTGTATAGAAACCTGGTACATCGAATAATCTTATGTTAGTAGAATTATCATAGATGGAAAGTTGTTCGACACATGTACTTGACAAATGACAACTGCAACCAGAATAAGCCATGGAAATTGTTAATACAGTATGGTTGTCATCTAATACCATTAACTGGTAATTTGTTAATTGTCCAGAAAGAAAAGCGTTTCCTTGAGTTGTCTTTCTAACCATATTGAGGGATAATAAAAAATTATTTGTTGTTGATGATATAAACTGATCAATGAATGATTTAGCTTGTGACTGAAATAAGTCTGATGATGCGACAGAGGCAGTAATATACTGAGTTGAATTAAATTGAATCAAACTATTATGAATTGTACTTTCAATTAAGTCACAAAATGCATGTAAAGCTTGAAATGCATATGAAACTACTATTCGAGGATCGTTGCTAATATATAAATACTGAAGAATCACATCATTATGTGAAAACCATTCGTCGGTAATAAAAATACTAGTGCATACTTGATGAAATGTATATTCAATAAAAAGAAATTTTTCATAGTTGATTGATATTTGTTTACATGGGCATGTAAGAGTTTGTGAATATTTAGAATATAATTGTTCATATTTTGTGAGAGTAGGTGTAGGAACATTGATAGTTTTTGTAATGTCGGCTAATGATGTATATAAGAGAAGAATTATTAATGATAGGGTGAACAAAGAAATGTATAATCTGGTTGATATTTTTTGATTTTTAAGTTCATGTTCATCAGTTGAAGGTGGTACAGATGGAAATAAATTAAGATTTTGACAGTACTGTTTAAATTTTCGGCAGCATTCCAAAGCCCGTCTACAAGTATTTGTCACTACAAGGAAATAGAAAAAAGCATGAAAATGATTTATATAAAACAACGAGCAGTACTGAATTCATTTCTGAATGATAGGTTGATAATATCATAAGCAGAATTTTACATTTCAATTTTAAATAGAAAGAATCAGAGTACTTTCTTGACACCGAAGTCTTTTGATACTTTAGAAGCATATCTGAAGATGTTGCATTAAAGTATGAAAAATGAAACAAAACAAAATACGTACTATTCATTTTATGATAAAATAATGTGAAATTTGTTTTTTGACAATTATACTTGAATTGTTGATATCTAATTTGTAACAACAATCTGAATAAAAATAAATTAGTCGAAGATTCGTATCTATATTTGTAGTTTTTGGACATAAAGTAGAAAAGCTTTGTCATGCAGTCGCTGTGGAATTAAAACGTACAAAACACGAAATACCTACTGTCACGTCTGTGGCGAGTGCATATTTCTATCCCTAAACGACGGGAAGTAGAGAAAGACAGAAGTAAGATTATTCAGTGCTTTAGTTATATATTTAATATAATATAAAACGTCATTTCGATATTAAAAATGTTATTAGATGAAAATGTAAAGAGCGATATATCATGTGTTCATAGAAGCAAAAAGAAAGTTTTAAATTGTTCTACATTAATTACAATAGAAGTAGTGCTGAATATTTTAAGGTTTTAATTGAAAAGAAAATAATATAAAACTCATTTTCTTGATTAGAAATGAGAAGCGATTAAAACAATAAATGATATGTTAACTTTTAAACGCCATATAGAATATATGAGGATACATATTTACATATATGTTACAATTCAACTGAGATTAAAATGCCCAAAATATTAGCAAAAAGAATCTATTACAACAATTTGAAGATGTGAAAACAACTTATGATATACGTATCCTACAGTGACAATCATTACCGTTACCTTTGCTTAATGTATTCTTCTTTCCAAAGAAAAAATACAACTTAACGATCGTCAATCATGTTAGTTTTTCATTTACATGTATCTCCAGTAAACAGTCTCATTCTGTCTTGTTCTTCGACGATACGAAAGTCACAATACAGTTAAATAAGAGATGGAAAAAGCATAAATATTTAATTTTTGTTAAACAAATTGAGAAACTAATTATACCAGTACTATCTGAACATTTAATTTTTTTGTTTTACACAGTTAAATTAGAATGAAAATCTATTAAACATCTTCTTAGTCTATACAAATTTAGCAATGAAATGTTAACGATTAACAGTGACTATTCGGTATAGGGAAAAACTAAAAAGGTAAATAATTAGTATACACGAAGGTTTATTTTCTCTTAATACTTGTTTAATATTTAATCTACTTTTTGTTCTATTCTCTACAAGGTAGAATAATATACTTTTTAAACAAATACAAACGACATAGATGTATAAATTAATCAATCTGAAGAACTCTTTAAAATGTAATAAACACTAGCTATATCATGAACATCTCAGAAGTATTCATCTATGAAAATTGATATTATTATTTTTTGTCTACGTTTGCATTTATTTTATCGCATAATTGTTATTTCCGTTTTTTTTCTTTTCATGATATACAATACTCTTGATAGCAAATTAATAGTATAATGTGTTATTTCATCATTGATATAAAATAAAGTTTTCTACATTCTAACCTATTTTACAATTATTATTAGCATTTAATTGAGATTGTGGGTATTATCTTCACAGATCAAATCCACACCCACACCCACAAATCATATGATCGAGGTCAGAAATGAAAGAAAAAGATCATATTATCGAGGATAATATATTTAAAGATGAATATGATTCGAATGACGAACATGAAGAAGAACAGCAGACACCTTCGGTATTGAAAAAAACAACAAACTGACAATAATAGCATTGTATGAAGTGAAGATAAACTGTAAGAGTAATCAAAACTTGTTATTTTTTGAACCTTACTTATTTATCTATATTATGAAGATTGTTTTTCTTAGCATGTGGTCATCTGCATTCTAATTTTATTTTTACAAAATATGATATTCAATTTTTGAATAAAAAAAGAGTTGTATTTCGATAGGAAATAATTAGCTAAGTCCCAATCCTGATCCCGTTCGAGCAGCGTTCTGGATTTCAGTCCGGGTGGATCCTACAGAAAACGAGCCTAATTTTCAGTGTATGAGATAATACAGAACAATTGATCGACGAAATTTATTGAAAATTACGCATCTTTTCTGATTGTTATGTAGAAACTTTTATCTTCGATCGATTTTATTTATTCAATCAAACATCGAGAATATTTCAAATAATGAAATAATAAACAATATTCATAATAAGAAAGTTTTTTTCAAAAAAAGAATGATCCACACGCAATGATATTCTTACGGATTGTAAAGATATTTATCAATATCAAAATATTTCAATGAATTATGATTTCTTTGTTCTTTCATTCTTCATTTCAATCATTTTATTTGTTGTTATCGATAAGAATGACTATTAACACCTTTTTCGCCTTTCTTTTGTATGTATTTACATCATACAAAACATATACATGATTAAAATGTATTCATGTAATTCAATTAAGAATGAAATGAACACATGTCAATATATATATATAGAGAGAGATACACACACTTTTCACTTTTATTCCATTCAATCGATAAAATTTCTTAACAAATCAAACAATGTATAATCGAACAAACTATATCATTATTATAACATGGGTTATTTTATTAAATTTCATTCAGGTAAAATTTTATATATATATATTAGACAGACGACTAATAAATGTTGTTTATTTATATTTAGGCACGTTCATATCATTCTTTTGCCGATTTTATAGCTGAAGAAGCATCGAACACCACAACGATTAAATCAATAACTATGAATAGTACAAGTAATGAAGTGCAGATGAATGATTCAATCAGCTGGAGAATTTGGTTGTTTATGCCATGTATTATTCTATTGTGTATATGTATTTTTAATTGTATTTATCGGATGAAATGTATCAAAGATGATGATGACGGATATCAAGTAAATATAAACTTGAATTTGTTTTAAAATTATTTCTTTTATTTGTTGTAGTGTTTTTGTGGTGAAGTACCAGATTCGAAATCATCGTTGAATGGTAAATTTAAAATTAATGTTTGAATTAATTTATAATTATTTATGATTATTTAGTTACTCATAATAAGTTATGTGGAATGGAATTTTCTTGCCAATGTTGTCCAACATCGACAGATGAATAGACTTTGTTTTCATTTTCTTTTTTCAATGTCTATTAGATATTTATAATTGTATATATATATATGATTGAAAAAATTAAATAAATGTATTTATTAGAAGACACAATATGTTTAATACACGTACTTAAGAGCCAGTAATCAATATTTATTCTCATTCACAATCTGTTAAATTTCTTTCTTTTAATCATAAATTTCATATTTTATTCTACAAGTTAGGGTGTGGGTGTCTTATCACTATGCCTTAGTTACATCACACCTACCCTCGAGTTATTTCTTTTTTCTCTTTAAATCCAAATCTTTAGATGAATTTGTTTTTTATTTGACCAAAAAGAAAAGAAGAGAATCAATTTTTTTCTTTGAAATTATTCAAAGAATTTTCACAAAACATTTTATTTTTTTTTACAAAATTCATTTGATCAAAGAGAACAAAATATACTAATCAAAACATTTTTCATATCTTAATATTCGATGATTATAAGAATCAACAACATAAAGATTCTCTTCATCATCAAATGATAAACTATTGGGATAATGCAATTGATTTAATTCTTTTCCTTGACCATTTCCATCAGCAACAACAGTTCCTTCCTTTGCATTTTTTCTCCATTTCATCACACGATTATTATTACGATCTGATACATAAAGAGAAGAATCTTCATCAACAAAGATAAGAGTAGGATAATTCAGTTGATTGAGATGATTTCGTAGTCCATTTCCACCCTCAACAATTGTTGCTCTTTCATCTCCTCTTTTCATCGTCTCACTTCATCTTTCACATAATCCAAAACATAAATAAATCCTTCTTATTTTTCAACGTTAATAGAAAAACTCGAAAGAGATAAATTATATATTAATTGAAGAATTGAGTAATGTTAGTTTGGTTGAAGTGACATAGTAATAACCAAATCCAAACTGCAAGCCACTGTTAATGGGAGACCAAAAGCAAACATCATTGATCTCCAGGGTTGTAAAACCATAATATAAGTCACAGCATACGCAATATGGATTAACAAATATAAGATACTGTAAACAATTGTTCTTGTACAGTTTTGAGATGCACTATCAGAAAAGATAGCAGTTGCTAATAATAAGATAAAAAAATAAGGGTCATTTTCGATATCATTATTAATCATTTTGGTGACACGTATGTCCTTAGTAAATTCGATTGGACTAGATGTATCTGTGACGACTGTTGTTTGTTTACCTATTAGTTTATTATCTTCGGGAGGTCGTGAGCCTGGTGGAAAAGGCTTGCCTCGTTTGGCAGACATTGCTACAGCAAGCATGACAATGCGTCGAAGGATGACCACAAGCATAAACCAGGCAAATACGGTGCCACTATGAATTGTCTTTACACTAACCATCATGATCAGATACGATTCTTCACGAGCGTGAAATCGTTGAGTTTCTTTGCAATTATATAAAATAGATTGTATATGATTACTTCAGTTTTTTCTTTTTGTCTATATGCACAGAAAATACGAACGAACGTCATGTTGATGATATTTGTTTGGACAAGTCTATTTGACTTTAACATCATGATTTACGTCAATATCAGCAGCTTTTTTACGCACATTCTCTTTCTAAAAGAATCGTGTTAGTATTGTTTTAATATGTGAACAATCCTTATAAAAAAAGATTAACTAATACAAAACTGATAATTTTTATTTTCATCACGAGTTTTAGCAAGGACTCATTCTCAAAACAAACTGATCCCATCAATATTGTTGTTGTTGTGAAAAATCGATCAGACTCTTCTTCAGAGTACTGTAGAACTTGTTTAGGATTTAAAAGATTGTGGATTTTATCCGACAAAGGGACTCTCATAAAATTATCTCTCAGATTGTGTTTTCAGTTCTGATAGTGAGTAAAGAAATTAATATAAAATTAAATATTAAAGAAGCATCAAAATCAAGAGTTATCTAACTAATCCTCAGTCTGATTATAGTGCAAGTAAACACGAGATAGTGTACCGCCGCTCAAGAGAACATCTCATATTCTTGTTCATAGAAAAATTCATTTGCTTCTCTAATCGTCATGTTAATTCGAGATACTTCCCGTTGAAGAAATATTTAAGTAAATCTAAGCGCTATAAAAATAAAATTTGATTTGTTTGTTTTATTTTGTACGTGAATGAAGATTTTGTATAATAAATGTTCAATGATCGAATTTTAAATGAGTTGATTATTCAACAAGAATTTTTAAATAAACAATTTCTTTATTCATTAAGTGAAACAAATGAGAATTTAAATAAAAGATTCTCAAATCTTCCTCAAAGTCAGTTTCATCTTTTGAACAATTTGTTTCACGAAAAATGTCAAGCTATTGAGAAACTTCTTCATCAAATAATTGAAAAATTTCAACACAATATTTTCAAATTGAAGAGACAAGGAAAAACAAAGAAAAGAAACTAAGATTTTATTTAACCAACATTCATTTTCATCTCAGCCCAATAAACAAATATTAAAAATATATTGGGGTTCGATTTCATCAAATAATCTTCGCAAAAAAACATCATTTCATTTAATAAAAAAGTTTAAGTCATACGAATTTAGATAATAACAACAAGTGGTTTTTTTCCAAAATTAGAAAAATTTCTATTGAATGGAATGTTCCGATATGAAATAAAAATGAATATAATTATCAAATTCCACCAAATAGATGTGAATCTTTATTATTTCTGCTAAACGATACTTTGTCTCTAACTGTATCATAGCTGATTGCTTAACTACTTATTTATTATATTCATATCAACAGAAAATCTTTCTTCTCATCAAGGACTACTCACAATGGAGAGGTGTGTACTGATAAATAAAATGACTGATCCTACTCAGATCAAATGATTACTTCCATAAAGAAACTAACAAATTTAAAATATGAAATGATGATAGCGAACCGGGTCTAGGATATTGGATGTCTCAGTGAGTTTTCTTTATAGAATCCCATTTTCTAAGCAAAATCATATTTTCGATTTTCAACTTGGAACTTTGAATCGATGAAGATCTCAATAAAACTAACTAATAGAAAAAAATTTAAATTGTTGAACAATCTTTCCTCGAAATATTGATGTTTTTCTTTAGAATCATAATATCTTGAGATATTAATAACTCGATCAAAGATTCCTCAAAAGTTTTGAATTTTTCTTTATAAGCTAGTCTGATAGAGACCTTCAATCATATGATTTTGTTCGGGAAGTGACGTTCTGTGGAGAACATCCATTGAAAAATCCAATATCTCAGTCCCGACTTGTAATCAGCATTTCATATTTTAAAGTAGTTGGTTTCTTAATGAAAATGATCATTCACTAAAAAATGCTCAGTCATGTCGTTTATCAGTACATATTCTTACATTGGCAAATCAATTTGAAGAAAATTTTTGTCCGATTATTGACAATTAATTCTGATGCATTCACGAAGACTTTTTAGATTATAGAAGAATAGTAGTTTTATGAACTTGTTTTCCTCAAATCTTATCTTGTGAGCAGGTGACGTTGAGGGCGTGGGTCAGTGATGAACGGAGTGACCACCTCCACACCTACACCTCAAGATGGATACATAACTTTTTTTGCCATTGTATGAAAAATAAAATGACATAAAATTCTAGGATAGAGAATGATCGTAGCGAGAGTTTAAGTTTTCTGCCATAGTTCGTCTGGCATTTTGAACTGATGCGCATTCTTAGGATAATAGATTCTTTAAAAAAATCATATGCGGTCACTTTAATATTGATCACATTAGATGCAGTTTTTTACGCTACATCGACTGAGCATATCTTCAAACTAATCTCGACGAAAAAGAGCTGGATTTACCGAAAAATCGAGTAATTTGTGGCATACAAAGAAATTTTAAAAAAATTGAATTTTTGGTATAGTTTTTTGAAAATACTGTCTGAAGAAAAGCGTCTAAACTTTTTCTGACAAAGGCAGTTTTGTAGAGCTCAGCCAGATGTATCGACTCATGTAAGTAAAAATACCAAGGCAAAAAAGTTTTAATCAACTATTGCATTAATTCCACCTCATCGAGTAATCTTTCTTTATTTCAAAGCATATTCGAATGCTAATTCACAAAACTCTTTTGTTTCGTATCATAACATGATAATTAAATTAATTTTTTTGTCTGCTAATTTCTTAAGCTCTTGTTTCCAATAAGCTCCAATTTGATTCAAGCGGAGGTCGAGTGTAGTGAGTATCTGTATGAAAGAAGAAAGATGAATATTATAGAGATGAGAACAGAAGAGATTATTCGTTTGTCTCACTGTGTTCTTTTGTAATGCTTCACCAAGATATTGTGCACCTTTGTCGCCGATTTGATTGAAGGGGAGGGAGAGTGTGGTGAGTATCTGTATGAAAGAAGAAAGATGAATATGATGAGGATAAGAAGAGATTATTTTTTTTTGTCTCACTGTGTTCTTTTGTAATGCTTCACCAAGATATTGTGCACCTTTGTCTCCGATTTGATTCAAGCGGAGGTCGAGTGTGGTGAGTACCTGTATGAAAGAACAAAGATGAATATGATGAGGATAAGAAGAGATTATTTTTTTTTGTCTCACTGTGTTCTTTTGCAATGCTTCACCAAGATATTGTGCACCTATAGCTCCGATTCGATTCGTGGAGAGGTCGAGTGTGGTGAGTATCTGTATGAAAAAAGACAGGTGAATATGATGGATATAACTAGAAATTGTTGTTTTGTCTCACTGTGTTCTTTTGTAATACTTCACCAAGATATTGTGCTCCTTCGTCTCCGATTTGATTGTCGGAGAGGTAGAGTGTGGTGAGTACCTGTATGAAAGAAGACAGATGAATATGATGAGGATAGGAAGAGATTGTTCTTTTGTCTCACTGTGTTCTTTTGTAATGCTTCACCAAGATATTGTGCTCCTTTGTCTCCGATTTTATTATAGGAGAGGCGGAGTGTGGTGAGTATCTGTGTGAAAAAAGACAGATGAATATTATATAGATAAGAAGAGATTGTTGTTTTGTCTCACTGTGTTCTTTTGTAATGCTTCACCAAGATATTGTACACCTTTGTCTTCGATTTTATTACCAGAGAGGTAGAGTTCGGTGAGTATCTATATAAAAGAAGGAAGATGAATATGATGGAGATAATAAGAGATTGTTCTTTGGTCTCACTGTGTTGTTCTGTAATGCTTCACCAAGATATTGTGCACCTTCAGCTCCGATTTGATTCCAGGAGAGGTGGAGTGTGGTGAGCATCTGTATGAAAGAAAACAGATGAATATTATAGAGATAAGATGAGATTGTTCTTTTATCCCACTGCGTTCTTTTGCAATGCTTCACCAAGGTATTGTGCACCTTCAGCTCCGATTTGATTCGAGGAGAGGTGGAGTTCGGTGAGTGTCTGTAGGAAAGAAGACAGATTGATATGACAGAGATAAGAAGAGTTTGTTCTATTGTCTTACTGTATTCTTTTGTAATGCTTCACCAAGATACTGTGCACCTTCAGCTCCGATTTGATTCGAGGAGAGGTCGAGTGTAGTGAGTATCTGTATGAAAGAAGAAAGATGAATATGATGGAGATAATAAGAGATTGTTGTTTTGTCTCACTGTGTTCTTTTGTAATGCTTCACCAAGATATTGTGCACCTTTGTCTCCGATTCGATTATGGGAGAGGTCGAGTGTGGTGAGTACCTGTATGAAATAAGACAGATGAATACGGTCGCTCGGAAGAATTTTCGAACGGAAGCGTAGTATTGAGCGGATTTTTTGTCCACCACGATTCTACGCTATGAAACCGCGGTATAATCTAGAGGTTGGATGTGGGTGTATTTTGGACACAATATCGAAAACTACACTCATACTCACAGCCTCGTTCATAATGGTTTCTATCTTGTTTGTCTACTTGAAGTGAACAACGATGCCTGTCGATTTTAAAATCTAATAATGTGTTATTTGATACGGTTTCTTTGAATGAAACTATGCAACTATTTAAAAGAGAATGAAGTTCAAGAATTTCATGTTCATATCTATCAATCGTATGTGTATTTTGACGAACTCGTCGAAATTTTTGATAAAAACAATAGTGGGTTTAAGGTTTAAGGCAAGGCTTTTCGGCTCCCCTTCCATCCCTCCTTACATAATTCAGCAACCTAAATTAAAGGAGATTGGCTACATTTGCATAGTAATAACAGCTATAAATACATTATTATTTTGATAAAGTCAAATATCTGTCTGCCCTCATTTCTATCATGGCAACCGGAGTGCGGATGTGAGGGCTAATCTATGGTGAGTTATAAGTTTCCATAGTAGGAGCAGGAGATCATAGCTTGTTGACATGTTTTTTACAGTGGAAATGATAGTCAGAGCTCAAGTAAAACACATTCACAATGATCGAGAAAGAGGAGAGAGATCAGGAAGAAAATGTTTCTATTAACAAGAAGGAGTATTTCAGGAATAATATCCTGCTGGATTCTAAGAATGTGCAACACCTCCCGAATCATTCAATGAAATTCAGATTTCTATAATAAATTACAACTGGTTTGAATAGTGTGGATTCCATAATGCTTAATGTACCAAAATAATCCTTTTGTAGACATCAGTTAGTGTAACGATACCATCATTGTAGTATTAGAGACAGAACAGGAACGATGCGAATAATATGAACTATTTAATATCACTGTTTCTGTATTTATCGATATGCACATAAGCATCTTGAGAGCTGTCGTGAATTAAATGGATATATATATAAACGACCTAACAGCCGGCGCAATCAAAGATAAGAAAAATGATAATAATAAATTAAAAAAACGAAAATACATGACAAACGAATAGCAACAAAGACCTAAGAAAGAGAGTGCTAGTCAAAACAAATAAGCTAAAAAAATTATTTATCCAAAATACAGAAATAAATAAGGCGAGCGATTTACTAACAAATTATTACTAATTGAAGAGCAATCATCAGCGGTCAGAATTTTGTGGCTGAAACCATTTTTAATATGAGAATAATGTCTTACAGGACGATATATGACTTCCAAATGTTTATCTCAGGAGACTGAACCCATTTTTATGAATTTCTAACTAAACTGAATAAGTCTAGAAATGAGTTTGATTTAACAGTCGAATCGTATCAAATTTTATATCAGTCATACTAGCAAAATCCAATTAATAAAACCAGTCAAGAATGTAGCGCTCTGACTACGATCATTTTTCCGGTAATTGACCTAATTCATTATCGCAATTTGGAACATGGAAAATAACATTGATCTTGATTTGATGAGTTTCCGAATTGCGATCATTTTTATTAATTAGTTATTGTAGCATTAGATTGAGTTATATTCTATTAATGATATAAATATAGTGATGCATGAGTTTAACTCATGCTATGTTTTGAAAGATGAACAATAACTTTTCCTGATCAACAACTGAACGAGGTAGCAAAGCCATCTTAAATAATATGGACTAAAAGGTGTGAATCAGAATGGTACGTTAACTTATGTCTGTACTTTCAAATCTTGTATTCGAGTCATCACTCCAAAAAAAATGATTTCAACCATAACTGTTGGTTACTTCATAATTAAAAAGTCGTGGCAATTTCGAAACGCTACGAAAATAAGATGAACATTATTTTCTACGTTCGACATTGCCCTACCACTTCTCTCCTAATTGGCTTAATTTGTGGTGGCAATCCGGATATAACCGAATTTCTCATATCTTTTCTTTGTCATTACATTTCTCAAGTTCCTAAATTCGAATAAAAGTTATTGATTAAAAGAACAAATATTCGCAAAGAATAGTTAAGAAAAATTTCATACAAGCAGATGTTTGTGTTTATTAATTAACACATAACACTTATTTTAACAATATTATTTTACATTTCCTATGGAGCATACCACTAATTTTTCTCTTCTACTCAACAACAAAGAAATACAACACTACTGACCTTATTATTTTTCAGGAGATAATAAGCCACAATTTCCATATCATGGTTTGTTAAGTTGTTAGATTCCAGGTTTATATTTGACGAATTCTTGTTGTCATTGATTATTTCTTCAAGTTCTGTGTATTTGTATGTCGGTGGTTGTGATAATAAACTTGTTCTCTTAGGTTCTAAAAAATCGACACAAAAGTAGAAGTAATTACTAAAAATATATGCATAAATAGGGTATCTTTTGATACTGCTTTTAAGCTAAATCTTTTAACAGAATCTGTTTAATATTATTTGCAAAATAATTTAGTTTTAACATTGCAAATATACATATCTCAATGAAAATAAATAAAGCAAATTGAGGGTATGTATGGGTGCTAGTGTTTGTGTTATATTCTTACTACACCCACACCCACACCCACACCCTCAACGAAACACGCTGAGTCGAATGACATTTGACTGAGTGTTCGAGCTATCTGTCTCACCACATAACTGAAAAGGTTGTTAACGAAATCGCTGCGGGATTAAAATGTGAAAGACGATATAGTTGTTATCTCGCCCTACAGGATTAAATTGGCTACATGTATGATGAATAGCTTTTCCTTTCACTCCATGATGTCAAGATGAAGGAACACGAAGAAATAGTTCGTGTACTATGAAGTATTCCCTTTGACATATTGGCATTTCTAACGAAATGAAAGAGAGAAAATGAGAATCACTCAATACTCATTGTTTCTTGTACTCTTCAGTCTATCTTCATCTACCATGATAAAATGGTGCAGTTAGAGTGCTAATTAAGGTCTGTGAAGGAACATCACAGTTTTTACCTTTAAAACTGTAACATCCTCTTTCAGGTATTATGCCATAAAATACTGTCGAATGTCACAATGTTACGTTTGGACAAGCTGTTATATAAACATCCGGACCTCAGATGATACACTTCGGCTAAATAAAAAACCGATATTTCAAAGTTTTCAACATATTTTGCAGTAGATAATGTGAAACGAATTCTCTTTCTAACAGCTATAGAAAAGGCGAATCACTTAGTTACTACTTACCGATTGATGTTGTTGCTGGTGTGGTTGTTGTAGTTGTAGTTGTAGTTGTAGTTGTAGTTGTAGTTGTTACTGGTGTGGTGGTTGCTAGTGTGGTGATTGGTGGTGTGGTTGTTGTAGCTGGTGTCGTTGTTGTTGATAGTGTGGTTGTTCTTGTTGTTGTTGCTGGTAGTGTAGTGATTGGTGGTGTGTTTATTGTAGCTGGTGTCGTCGTTGTTGATGGTGTGGTTGTTCTTGTTGCTGGTAGTGTGGTGATTGCTGATTTAGTTGTTATTGCTGTTGTGGTGGCTGCTAGTTTAGTTGTTATTGCCGTTGTTCGTGTGGTATTTGATAATGATGAGCGTGAGTTTGGTGATAGTATTAGCTGTGATCCTACAAAAATAATTTAAAAGTAGAAGAGAAGCATTCGATGACTTTTTACGCAGAAGTATATTCTTATCGATCTACTACCTCAAACAAACGGTTCAGTGCTTGACTCACTGATTTCTTCCATGTATGATTATTTTTTCCGACTCGACATGTATTCGACAGATATAAGTCAAAGCCGATCGGTAATATGCAGCATTCTAACTGAGAGAGTCATCTCGAAAACAACCTCTTCGCATCGTTATATATTCCCCGCATATTTGAAAACGTGATCATTCTATTCAAAAAAATCTTAGGACTTCACTATCAACACAATACAAGTGATTTTTGATCGTCAACCAAAACATACACGCTTTAGACAAATTTTATAGAAAAGCACAAACTAAAAACTGTGTGTATCTATAAAGTCTTCTAGTAATCGGATATCTAAAATGATTTTTCACCTTTGAGACAAACCTTTTCGAAAGGTCTTATATAAAATAAATTACGCAAGCAGTCTAAGTCACCGTAAGAGCGTGTTTGTGAGATTTAACGTTTCATATGTAGTGCAAATTTTTTAGTTCACGAAAACAGAAGTGTTTAACTATTTTAAGAGACACTCACTTCATCGAATTTCATTAAACTAAAGTAGGCTTTGTACGAATACTGCAAACGATTTTGATTTTTCGAAACTTAAAAAAAGGTTGCTGCCATACTGCGAAATTCTAAACAGTCAGTAAAATGCCTAAATTTGACGTATGTTGCAGACGAAAAACATATCAATCTGTGTCAATGGTTTGCTAGAGTGGCCGCTCAAATGATAGTGGGTCAAAAATTTCAGTTTGTTACATGCAAAATGATGGTATGCAGTTATCCTTTCAACGATGTTGACGAAAACAATTACGAAGGACATTTCAAAAAGGCATGAAGTGAGAATCCACCCATTTTAATGATGCTTAAAATGGCACCACTGCACTGGAAATTTTAATCGCGTCGAGATTATGCTGAAATATTTACCTGCTGATAAGATAGTGCTGACATCACTAGTGTTCTGCCATGCAGGCGTTGTTGTGGGTCCTTTACTTATTGTTGGAGAGTTTCGGACAAGAAGCATCAAAAAAAGTAGTATCATACTTAAAATCACAAGCAAAACTGATAATAATAATCTGTTGATGCTAAAACACTTGTGTTGTTTGCTTTTTTCAATCGAATCTTCACATTCTTCTAATTCAATCTCAATTGAAATGGGTGCTGTAGAATTCTTGGAGTCATTTCGTTTAATTGCTACTACTTTAAAAACGGTAAACGGAAGAATCAAAACTTCTTTTTCATCTAAGTTCATAGATAATGTTTGAATGTCAATAGCTGTTGCGTTTTGTTTGATTAAATATCGACAGACACAAGAATATTGTAATGCACAATGACGCTTAGGAGTATACCTCATGTTTGGCTGTTGTCCTTCACCAGCAAACATTTCCGCTACTCGACGATCGAGAGATGTGGATATAAACGAACGATTTAACATATGCTGATTTAACTTGTATTGATCTAAATCATTTTGTGTTACTACCATACCACGATAACATAAACCTCGATATTGATATCGAGATACATCTGGATGATGAATTAAAAGTGTAACAATATGAGCAAGACAATTAACAAGACGATATGTTGGTAGGAAAAGTTTCGATTCATCAAAATAGTCTAGTATATACATAGCCAAGTGTCTGTTTAATACCTTGTGAAAACCACTGGTTAATGTATACGCTTTGATAAAATATGTTAAATAATCTTTTTCTTCTATAGCTCCTTTAAAATATCCTTCAAGAGTTTTGATCTGCTCAGAAGTCACTCTATCTTCCGGATTGCTAGTGTCACTGCTGAGATTCAACAGGTAATCATTTAAATAGTAATGAATAAATTCAGCAATTAATTTTGATAGTAACGTATGATTGTCGTAGGTTTTATACACATCGATAATTTGACGGAATCTACGTCTCTTATCAAGAAGATCGTTCCCAACTAGGGACCATTCAATATAATCATAATCATTGTTGGAAAATAGATCTCGTTGTTCGAGAAATAATTGTTTTATACTATCTGTATGAGCTTCTTCGTAGGGTGTTAAATTATGCCTTAAATTTCGTATTGAACGTAGGGCGCCATAGTCTAATAGAATCTGTACCACATCTCGATGTCCATAATAACATGCCACATGCAAGCATGTTGAACCAGTCGAAGTTTGAATCTGATTTATAATGTTTTTATTGCCAATAAATGGTATTATTTTTCGAATTTTTTCGACTTCATTTTTCCTACATAAATCGTATAATGAATCATCGATGTTTGGTTCATCACTGCCAGGAACTGGTGACCATGTTGTTATCATTATGAAGAAGACAAAGAATAGAACGTTGGACTAATCTGAATATATTTTCCACGTGGTCTGTATAGTAATTCGTCTATAAATCATGTCAAACATCGCATCATCTTCGCTGCAGCAGTCTCAAAATTCAAGTCCATCTGAAACAGAGTATAAATAGTTAGAGATATCGAAAAGCGAAATGTTCGTTGAAAACATGGGATAAGTTGGGATATTTGCTTCAAATAGCCTGATTCTACAGATCCCACAGAAGAAATGTATGATTAGTTAAACGTAGGAGCTGAACAAATTCAGTTCGATAGGAACTGGTTGATAACAATCATCGTTTGGATATACCTTCCGGTGAGAGAACTTCACTAGATAATCAGAACGATATAGCATACTTGATCGTTTATATAACTCGAACTCTTGTAGTAAACCTTCTTTTTCGTATATTTGGCAGTGAGTCTAGTACATTTCAAACAAACAGTTGAATTTTTGACTTCGCCGAACATTCGACTTCCGTCGGATGACAGAAAACCACTTCTTAGAAGAAAAATCTTTCTCTTGGATGAAACAATCGAAAAACTAATGATATATTCAGGTTTCGCAATTCTGAAAGTCTTTTGTCAACTACATCTGTTAAAGGCATCTCGGATGATATTTTTTTATTTATTACGTCTGATCTAACACAGACATTGACACAAACTCTTTGTAGTTTTTTTCCTATGATCCTTTAATTAGTCAAGAGAACATTTTCATCTGATCATCATCGAATAATGCTTATCAGATTCAAAATTCAGCTGTATAATGACATATATATTGTTAAAATGAAAATAGACCGTATGATCAATTTTCTTTTTGTTGTTGAATATCCGATGTTTTCGATCCGCCATTCCCGACTACTCAGCGTTGTATATTCTATTCCAAAGTCAAGAGAAAGTCTGATCTTCCTGGAGATCGATGACTGTAAACGAAGTACCACATCCTAAGAAAATGATACTTTACTCTCAATATCTTAAGTATCAGCATTTTGAGAAAGGAATCTCAATATGGTATTTAAAGGGTATGAAAAGATGCCATCCATCCATCCATTCATCCTTCCGCTAGTCATCTTACTAAACGGCATGACTGATAATCTGATAAATACGATATATACGCTTGCATGAATAATCACGCTCATAACTTTATATACTACGAATCAAAATTTGTCTCGAAAGCCTTTCTCTTATATTATCAACTCAAGAACTAATCTCATATTCGGATTCTCCACCATCTATTACCTTGCAAGTTATTTATCAATATGATTGTCAAAATTGCAAAAAATCTTATATAGGACAAACCTCAAGAAATGTCGAATAAAGAAAATGTGAACATCAGAATGTGTTAAAAGGAATAGGAATATCTAATATTGCAGAACATTGTATACAATATAAACACAAAAATGACTGGAACCATAAAATATTAGCTACAGAATCCAGTGATACTGAAAGAGTAATAAAATAAAGCTTATTAATGAATAATATACAAGGGAAATCTGATCACATTATATATTCGCAAGAAAAAGCTATGACTTAAATGTTTTCAAATGAACTTGGGATCATTCTTGAGAGCAAATAAAATTTAACAAATTTATTAAGTAATTAGCCTTTCTCTTTCTTTCTTTCTCTCATCTAATTACAACAAAAGATGTCATACTATATATAAATATATGTAGTTGTCCTTTTCCATATAACTTCGTTTTATTTTCACTGACAAAGATAACACTAGTTGTCGAAACATCGGAGTAATAAAATATGATCTATTCGATATTCTTTTCTTTACTATTTATGTAGAGATTCGAGTGTAATATATAAAATGTGTTATTATAATCTAGTTTCTAATTTTCATCAATAAAGTCTGAAGAAGATGGCATTGCTAGTCGAAACGTCACAACAATCGAATATATTCTAGCGAGAGTTTCACAGAGAATCAACAAACAATTTGTGAGTAAAAGGATAAAAAATGATTATTTCTATAAAAAAAATTGCTATAGAAAGAAGTGAAAGTATACATACTCATGAAATTCTATTGTCTTATATTCATCATAACAAGCTTTATCAGTGATGTCTTTCCAAAAACATCTTTGAAGCCTCCTGTATCATGCAAGAAATATTAGCTCTTTTAGACTGTAGTAGAGTGGAGATATTTATGACTTACCGTGAGTATCTATTTATATGTATGTGTATGTAAGAAGTAAAGAAATAAGAAATGATAACAACATCTTTAGTATTTGTGCTAAAAACTGTTTCTTTTCTTCGTTATTCGCAACAGTGTTTTTGTCTTTAAATGCGTCTGTATATGCATTTTGTCTCTGTTGAGTCTACCATCAATTGTGGTTTTCTCTCGTTCTGTTCTGTACTATAGTATCTTCTCTGTTTTTCTTCTGTACTGTGTTCTGTTTACGTTACCAATTTATTATAAATCCGTTCCTTATATGTTTTTCTTTTTTCTTCGTTCTCTGTCGGTAATTTTTGTATAACATAAGTCGATGTTTTGTTTGATATGTCGAGTAGGACAAGGCGTGGATATGAGGAAAAAGATGCAATGATAATGCAATATATACTATGTCTGTCGTTTACAAGAAGACTCAGATGATATAGACGATACATTTCATACTACGATTTTCAGTCAAAGACAATATTTTGCTCATAGTGAATGGTAGAACGTTACCTGATTATTTTGTAAGATGTTCACTTTGTTGCAAGAAGAGTGAGACCGAAAAGAAAAATGCATTGAAAAATTTCAAGCATAGAAAAAATACATACGTACATACAAATCTTTTCTTCAACTATCAATACTTGAAAAATATGAAATTTCGGAGTCGATGTACTTAAATATACAATACTTTGTTTTTCATATGATCACTAGTTCTTCAATTGATAGAAGTAGAGAAATTTGAAGAAAAGAATATTCTTCAATTATAAAAATACTACTAGAAATTTTCAATTTTAGTAGATGTATTTTTTATTTAGAAAGTATATTGAGTGCTGCTAAATTTCATTTCAATGGACATGCAATTATGATCATAATAATAGTATTAACGAGGATCAGGATCTGGGTGAGAGAGAAATAATCACACCCACACCCTCTGCTCTGCTTCGACAGGTTGTCACCTCTTCATTCCATAGCATGATGTTTTCCATATAGTATTGGTATAATAACTTCCACTATAACCGCTTGTCGTCGAACCTTTGTTAATGATACAGCAATATCATATTTTTACCGCAAGAAAATACTGTGTAACACGGAAGTTCTAGAGTGGTCCCGATGCTTAGCAGTTTCCTAGTATTTTATGTTCATAATAAATGTTCTTCGAGATGAACGTGCAAATTCATCATAACTTCTACTTAGTAGTGTTAGATCTATATCAATTGTTGTATACCATTTCATCTTCTCTAAAGAATTTTTTGCGATTATTATTTTACTTTTCAGTTTTATTATAACTTTATCTACTCTTTATTTTAGTCGTTCTTTTTCTGATGTTTTCGTTCTGTCATATTATTCTTTCTTTTTCTCTGTCGGTAGGGAGGGCAAATGTTATGGCATCATATATCACATGCCATAAAGAATACTAATTCACTTTCAATTCCTCACGTACTACAAATATCGTTGAATATTTAAGGAGTGACTATTGTTTTATGAAAGAAGAGGAACAAAGAACGAAGAGGAGCGACAACAAACTTCTTTTTATTTTACTTGATAAAGTAAATATAAAATATTATCTCAAGCATTCAAGTTTGTATAGAAAAATTATTGATAGATACGTCATTCTACAGTTTTCGATAGTCTATTTATAGTTAAATTAACATTTGCTCTTCTTATACCCTGTTTTGTGATTGAAACATTTGAAAATGATAGGATATCGATAATAATTTCTATTAATTTCAATTCTTAACTTTTTTTTT